GACAGAAATTGCAGTTCCCCCTTAACAGCGATTTTGCAACTGGATTTTGAAACTAATTTGAAACTGACTGGAAACTAATTTGAAACTATGGAAACAATTTGAAACTTGAAAAATACCACATTCCGGACTTTCTGCCCCATCCTGGCCCCTCACATACGGCCCTCAGTTGACTTTGGTCAGCCGTGACTAGAGACCAGAGTTTCCGAAAACTTGCAAGTCTCCAGACTGTCTCGGACAAGATAATTGACTGACTTGTTGGCAAGAGTTGTTGCTGGAATGGCTTTTGGGAAGATTGTCGGAGAATGGCCTTTGGGAAGAATGTCGGAGATGTACTTTTTGCAGCTTCAAGCTCCTCTTTCTCGGGTGTGGCCAAGCACCAAAGAGCAGAAATGTCGCGTTTTTCAAGTTTCAAATTCGTTTCTGTAGTTTCAAATTAGTTTCAAAATAGTTTCAAAATCCAGTTGCAAAATCGCTGTTAAGGGGAAACTGCATTTTCCTACGTGCGATTCAAAAAATGAAGGAATCTCAGAGATTCCTGGTTTTCAAAAAGCGCGGACAGAAATTGCAGTTCCCCCTTAACAGCGATTTTGCAACTGGATTTTGAAACTAATTTGAAACTGACTGGAAACTAATTTGAAACTATGGAAACAATTTGAAACTTGAAAAATACCACATTCCGGACTTTCTGCCCCATCCTGGCCCCTCACATACGGCCCTCAGTTGACTTTGGTCAGCCGTGACTAGAGACCAGAGTTTCCGAAAACTTGCAAGTCTCCAGACTGTCTCGGACTAGATAATTGACTGACTTGTTGGCAAGAGTTGTTGCTGGAATGGCTTTTGGGAAGATTGTCGGAGAATGGCCTTTGGGAAGAATGTCGGAGATGTACTTTTTGCAGCTTCAAGCTCCTCTTTCTCGGGTGTGGCCAAGCACCAAAGAGCAGAAATGTCGCGTTTTTCAAGTTTCAAATTCGTTTCTGTAGTTTCAAATTAGTTTCAAAATAGTTTCAAAATCCAGTTGCAAAATCGCTGTTAAGGGGAAACTGGATTTTCCTACGTGCGATTCAAAAAATGAAGGAATCTCAGAGATTCCTGGTTTTCAAAAAGCGCGGACAGAAATTGCAGTTCCCCCTTAACAGCGATTTTGCAACTGGATTTTGAAACTAATTTGAAACTGACTGGAAACTAATTTGAAACTATGGAAACAATTTGAAACTTGAAAAATACCACATTCCGGACTTTCTGCCCCATCCTGGCCCCTCACATACGGCCCTCAGTTGACTTTGGTCAGCCGTGACTAGAGACCAGAGTTTCCGAAAACTTGCAAGTCTCCAGACTGTCTCGGACAAGATAATTGACTGACTTGTTGGCAAGAGTTGTTGCTGGAATGGCTTTTGGGAAGATTGTCGGAGAATGGCCTTTGGGAAGAATGTCGGAGATGTACTTTTTGCAGCTTCAAGCTCCTCTTTCTCGGGTGTGGCCAAGCACCAAAGAGCAGAAATGTCGCGTTTTTCAAGTTTCAAATTCGTTTCTGTAGTTTCAAATTAGTTTCAAAATAGTTTCAAAATCCAGTTGCAAAATCGCTGTTAAGGGGAAACTGCATTTTCCTACGTGCGATTCAAAAAATGAAGGAATCTCAGAGATTCCTGGTTTTCAAAAAGCGCGGACAGAAATTGCAGTTCCCCCTTAACAGCGATTTTGCAACTGGATTTTGAAACTAATTTGAAACTGACTGGAAACTAATTTGAAACTATGGAAACAATTTGAAACTTGAAAAATACCACATTCCGGACTTTCTGCCCCATCCTGGCCCCTCACATACGGCCCTCAGTTGACTTTGGTCAGCCGTGACTAGAGACCAGAGTTTCCGAAAACTTGCAAGTCTCCAGACAGTCTCGGACTAGATAATTGACTGACTTGTTGGCAAGAGTTGTTGCTGGAATGGCTTTTGGGAAGATTGTCGGAGAATGGCCTTTGGGAAGAATGTCGGAGATGTACTTTTTGCAGCTTCAAGCTCCTCTTTCTCGGGTGTGGCCAAGCACCAAAGAGCAGAAATGTCGCGTTTTTCAAGTTTCAAATTCGTTTCTGTAGTTTCAAATTAGTTTCAAAATAGTTTCAAAATCCAGTTGCAAAATCGCTGTTAAGGGGAAACTGGATTTTCCTACGTGCGATTCAAAAAATGAAGGAATCTCAGAGATTCCTGGTTTTCAAAAAGCGCGGACAGAAATTGCAGTTCCCCCTTAACAGCGATTTTGCAACTGGATTTTGAAACTAATTTGAAACTGACTGGAAACTAATTTGAAACTATGGAAACAATTTGAAACTTGAAAAATACCACATTCCGGACTTTCTGCCCCATCCTGGCCCCTCACATACGGCCCTCAGTTGACTTTGGTCAGCCGTGACTAGAGACCAGAGTTTCCGAAAACTTGCAAGTCTCCAGACTGTCTCGGACAAGATAATTGACTGACTTGTTGGCAAGAGTTGTTGCTGGAATGGCTTTTGGGAAGATTGTCGGAGAATGGCCTTTGGGAAGAATGTCGGAGATGTACTTTTTGCAGCTTCAAGCTCCTCTTTCTCGGGTGTGGCCAAGCACCAAAGAGCAGAAATGTCGCGTTTTTCAAGTTTCAAATTCGTTTCTGTAGTTTCAAATTAGTTTCAAAATAGTTTCAAAATCCAGTTGCAAAATCGCTGTTAAGGGGAAACTGGATTTTCCTACGTGCGATTCAAAAAATGAAGGAATCTCAGAGATTCCTGGTTTTCAAAAAGCGCGGACAGAAATTGCAGTTCCCCCTTAACAGCGATTTTGCAACTGGATTTTGAAACTAATTTGAAACTGACTGGAAACTAATTTGAAACTATGGAAACAATTTGAAACTTGAAAAATACCACATTCCGGACTTTCTGCCCCATCCTGGCCCCTCACATACGGCCCTCAGTTGACTTTGGTCAGCCGTGACTAGAGACCAGAGTTTCCGAAAACTTGCAAGTCTCCAGACTGTCTCGGACAAGATAATTGACTGACTTGTTGGCAAGAGTTGTTGCTGGAATGGCTTTTGGGAAGATTGTCGGAGAATGGCCTTTGGGAAGAATGTCGGAGATGTACTTTTTGCAGCTTCAAGCTCCTCTTTCTCGGGTGTGGCCAAGCACCAAAGAGCAGAAATGTCGCGTTTTTCAAGTTTCAAATTCGTTTCTGTAGTTTCAAATTAGTTTCAAAATAGTTTCAAAATCCAGTTGCAAAATCGCTGTTAAGGGGAAACTGGATTTTCCTACGTGCGATTCAAAAAATGAAGGAATCTCAGAGATTCCTGGTTTTCAAAAAGCGCGGACAGAAATTGCAGTTCCCCCTTAACAGCGATTTTGAAACTAATTTGAAACTGACTGGAAACTAATTTGAAACTATGGAAACAATTTGAAACTTGAAAAATACCACATTCCGGACTTTCTGCCCCATCCTGGCCCCTCACATACGGCCCTCAGTTGACTTTGGTCAGCCGTGACTAGAGACCAGAGTTTCCGAAAACTTGCAAGTCTCCAGACTGTTGATGGACGAAATCCTGCATCATTTTTATCATGCAGCTCATCCCTTCCAAACCCTGAATCTTAACATTGCCGTCCTTGCAATGCTTCGAAAGTGCATGTGTGTGAATGACCGAAATCCTGCATCACCCATATGCGCACGCAACATTGAAATTCGACGGGTGCGGGGAGCTCGATTACCAACCGTCGCGCACGTGTAACGCAGGGGGTCATGCAAGATTTTGTCCATCCACAGTATGAGACACGTACTCGGCAACATTGTCGATGTCATCATCGCTCAACCGCCCTCCAAAAGCCGGCATGGCATTTTTGCCGTTGGTGACCTGCGTCTTGATACTGGGGATGGTATTCCCCCCCGTCAGATGCTGATTCAGGTCCTCCTTTTTCAAGGTACGGTAGGGCATGATCACATTCTGTCCACCTGCATGGCATGCGGCACTTGAACACTTGCTCCCCAGCCCACACATCTCCGGAGGCCTTCTCTAAGAGCGAGTTGGTTTCATGAGCAGCGCGTTCGGGGAGCAACGGGATGCTGTTGCCAGAGAGGAGGCTCTTCTTATCTTCATCACTGATGCTGTGCGTGAAGTGCATTGCAGCATCGTAGCACTTCTTTTCTTTCGTGGCCATCTCGAGAAGCTCTGGGGATAGCTTGTCAGCACGAAGGTTCACGGCCTCCTTGCTGCGTGGATCCGTCCAGTGCTCGTCGGAGGGGTTGCGGTTGCTCTCATGGATCTGCTGCAATTCAGGATGGCTTTTCTGGTCGATGGCTGCAAGGACGTGATCCAATTCAGCCATGGTGAAGTCATTGCACGGCCTGGCATTGCCTTTGGTGATGCGAAGAAGATGTTTGTTCAGCAGGGTGTTCGACTCCCCGTGTGCAGCGATGAACGCCGGTCCAGGCACCAGCTGCTTGGCACGTGCCACATCTCTTTCAGACAAGCTGCTGGGGCCGGATGGATGCATGTGCGTATTGGCTTGAAGCAACTTCCCATGTCTCCGGCACTTCCGCGATGGCCGCCACAGCCACAGTTGCTACAAGGGCAAGACAGGCGACCACGGACATTGCGCTCAAGACAGCTGTCGCGCAGAATCTGTGAAGCTGAGAACTTCAGCTGGGGCAGCTGTCGCGCAGAATTGAAGCTGAGAACTTCAGCTGGGGCCAGTGAGCTTCGAGATGTATGTCCAAAACACTTGCCCAGACTTGTCGAGTAGGCTTTCTGACCAAACATGAATTAAACAACAAATGTATGGTGTTCATGGCCGCCACCGTCATGCTCCTTGCTCGATACTCTGCTAGATGCTCGGCCATATACTTGACTATACATGAACCATAAGCTTTTCTCTATTACAATGCACTCATGATTACTCATGTACTCTATAATGAGCTACAATGAGCAGATTCAGGTGAAGCTTCGGGTTCTGGGCCTTGAAAAAAAGCCACTTGAGGTGACAGGCCGGGCAGCATACCCAGCTGCTTGCAAAAGCCTGCACCCGAGTGCGAGGTCGCCGAGCCTCGGTGTTCTGCTGCGATCCACTGCCCTTCATCCCAGATGCCCTCCACAAAGCAGTGGAAGCTTAGGGTTTCGGGTTTGAGGTTTAGGGTGGAAGGTTTAGGGTTTAGGGTTTAGGGTACAGCAGGGTTGACAAGATGGTTCAGCAGGGTTGATGTTTTGGGAGGGCCAACGAGAGAAGCTGACAAACTACAGCACTGGTTTATTCCCAACAAGGGCGATGATGGCTCAGTAGTCGAATGTGCATCCAGGTTTTTTGTTGGGATAGGTTGGGTTTTTCACTGTGACGGGAAACCGCGACTGCGGAAAACCACGGGACGGTATGACTGGGTATGACCGGGTATGACCGGGTATGCCCGGGTATGACCGGGTATGACCGGGTATGCCCGGGTATGCCCGGGTATATGACCGGGTATGACCGGGTATGACCGGGTATGACCGGGTATGCCCGGGTATGCCCGGGTATGCCCGGGTATGCCCGGGCATGACCGGGCATGAGCGTACTCGGGCGTACTCGGGCATACTCGGGCGTACTCGGGCGTACTCCGGCGCACTCGGGCGTACTCGGGCGTACTCGGGCGTACTCGGGCGTACTCGGACGTACTCGGGCGCACTCGGGCGCACTCGGGCGTACTCGGGCGTACTCGGCCTGCAGTCGCGGAACGCGGCTGCAATGGGGTTTTTTGCACCCCAGGTGAAAATAGCTTTGTGTTTAAGGGCACAATAGTCGAAGATGGCCACCTCGAAGGGTTTAGGGTGTAGGGTTTCCAAAGGTATCCTGGACAAGGGCGGGGGCTTTGAGCCAGGGGGCTGGCTGGATGACCATTGCTGCGGCCACGCAGGGAGACGATCTGGTCGTGCATCTTCTTGAAAGTGCCTTGGAGGCTTCGGCTTTAGGGTTTATAGGGGTTAGGGTTTAGGGTTTACAGGTTTAAGGTTTAGGGTTCTGTTGCCTTTGCCTGTGATCCTCACGCATCAAAAGAAGTCGAGGATTCTTCGCAGGGTTCGGTGCTGAAGGACTTCTCAGAACTCATGGAGCCTTTGGCAGCTTTGGCTTCTGCTCTGCGCCATTAAGGCAGCATGCCAGGGCTCATGGAAAGAGGCTGCTTGTTTGGGGGGGGCGCTTTGTGTTGGGCCCCCCTGCGCCCTCTTTTCTTGGGTGAGCGAAACCTCTCCCTCCCAAAATGTTCGTGGGGCCACCGCAGTCCAACCAGCTGGTCTTGATGACCTGCAGCTTCTCGGGCACCTCCTTCTGCAGCAGAAACATGACCTCAGGGTGTTGGAGGGTTGAGGAGGGTTTAGGGTTTATAGGGCTTTTGTAGTGCTAAGTACATCTACGTCTACTGGCTGTTTTGGTACCTGGTATGCTGAGAGCAGCTCCGCACCCACAAACGACATCTGAAACGACACACTGCAGCATTCGCCCATAAACTTTCCATCCTTGCAAGAACCAACCCGAAGCCTGAAGCCTTAAGCCTTTAGGGTTTAGGCCTTAGGGGTTTAGGGTTTAGGGTTTAGGGTTTCAGGAATTTTGGACAGGTGGCGTGGTCGGCCGGGTTGAAGTTCGCCGGGCAGGGGTAGCCCAGAACGTCGAAATGTGTGGAGATGTGATCTGCAGGGCCATGGTAGGTGACTTCCTGAAGAGCCGGCGGAACGGGTTCACACCCTTCACTTCAGCCGCTACATGTTATAGGCCCGCAAATCAATACAGTCGAACACATTGAGCCAAAGTGCACCACCGTGGAGGATGATCACCTCAACAGTGACGGCTTGTAAACGTGTCTTCTCCACTTAATTCTCAAAAAGTGCGGGTAGACATATGTAATTCTCACAAAGGCCCTAAACCCTAAACCCTGAACCCTATAAACCGCAAACCCTGGGCCCTATAAACCCTAAACCCTATAAACCCTACACTACAAAGCTCCCAACTCCTGGCTCGTGTGCCCATTCACACACCACTCCGGTCCCCCGATGGCAATATGAGCCAGTACAGCAACCCGAAGGAAGCGAAACGCACCCAGGGAACAACAGTGGCTCCTGAACGGATCGACCTAAAACCTCCCATAAACCCTTTCCTCAAACTCAGCATGCACAGATGCAGGTGCACACCACACACTCACACTCACACACCCACTTGGAATTCTCACAATCTAAATCTAAATTCTAAATTCGATTCGGCAAGCTTCGACGGCAACCCCTCCAAGTTCCGGGCATCATCGAACTTGGCGAAAATCTCGGAGCTTGGCTGGTGAACCGTGCAGAGAACAGGGACATCCGCCTCGGCGAGCTCCTTCCAGTCATGAGTCCACACTTCGTGCTTTTTTTTAGCAGGGCTTTCAGCACACATCCCGCGCCATCTCTTCCTCCCACTTCCTTCGCGTCCCTGAACCAAAAAAGCTCTGCACCTTGAGGGCCACCACCAAGGTGTAGGCGGCATAGGAGTCCAGGCCGCTCAGAGGCTCGTCGAGGAACCTCGGAGATAACAAAGTGCTGGGCATGGCACCCGCCGCGACACAGCGACAAACGGACTTCTCAGGTGTGCAGTTGTGAAGGTGCTTTGGGGCGCCTGCTAACATTTGGGAGATTCGTGTAGCCTACTTGGAGGATCGGGGGACTTCGTATAAGTAGAAGTACATGGCAGTACCCTAAAACAGAACCTGAAGCAACGAGAGTTGTGTCCCAACCCTAATCCCTAAGCCCTAAACCCTAAAATTCCCCAAACACCCTTAGCCCGGCAACAGCATCCTGGGGTTCGTGATCAGCTCGATGCCGACCTCGAGAGCTTCGGGGGCTTTCGTGTGCAGGATGGGAAGTTGGGGGGTTCTGGTCTTGGTTCATCTTTTAGGGTTTAGGGTTTGGGTATAGGGTTAGGGTTTAGGGGTCAGAGATGAGGCTAAGCTCAGGGCATCTCTGTCGATGGGGACTGCGCATCACGCGATATTCAGGTTCTCAGAAACTTAAGGAGAGCAGGACGTGTTGCTTGCTTTGGGCGTTGCCAGCTCTTGCGAAGGCCAGAGGGTATTCTTCATGGACACATGTGCAGCAGAGCCACAGACGTGCGCTTTCTCTCACCTCCAGACATCTTGCGCTTTGATCTTTTGCAGCAGGGGTTCTTCGCGGTTCGTACTTGATCAAGCAGCTGGCACTTCTGCATGGGTAGCCCGACTCTGCTGGGCCCCGAACCGACACGAGAGCAAATTGAACCCAGGTCTCCAAGGCCTTGCATTCAACTCGAAGCTATTCTGCTACCCTAAACCCTAAACCCTGAACCCTAAACCTTGAACCCTAAACATCCCTAAACCCCAAACCCTACCCCCTCGCTCCCTTCTTGTGAATCCAGCACTCCCCTGGCGCCCCTCCTCCAGAGATGCCCTTCACAAGAGCCGAACCGACAATCCTGGGAGGTCGCGCACGCGGTTTAGGGTTTAGGGTTTAGGGTTTAGGGTTTGGGGCTCTCGTTTGTGGGGCCGGCCACACAGCTTTCGGACGCGAGGGAAGCTCTTGGGGGGCGCCACTGGGAGGATTCACGTCCCCCACGCCCCCTCCCCCCTTCCTGCTCGTCTGCACGCACTCGCATGGGCCAAGGGGCGTGGAGCAGCAGCGCTCCAAGTGGAGCGTGGACAGCAAGTTCTCCACAAACTCCTGCCTTTGCCTTCAGTTCAAGTCAGGTTCAGTAACTCAACTCCTTGGTCACTTAGGGCTTTGCATGTGCTTCGGGGTCTACGTACTTCGAGTGGCTTGTGCCTGAGATGTGCCTGAGGATTTTCGGTGTTGGGTTTCAGTGGGGTATGGGCCCCGGATGTCTCGATTCGAAGTCACGAAGCCAGCCCACGGCTATCCGAGAGTGTAGAAAAACCATTTCCGGCGCTAAGCGGCTCTTCCGTCACACTCCGCGGCAGCCTCAAACAGGCCGAGAAGTGCAGACATTCCTCAGTGTATAGCGGGATGCTTACGAGAAGTTTGCGACACTCTGACTGTTTGAGAAGCCCGGTCGCAACTTAAGGAATTGTGCTGAGACAGGTTCCGACTGGTGTCCTGCTTAATGACCGAGACGAGTATAAGTTTGATGCCAGGACTTGAGGCACCAGGGCTCTGCGTTGAAACAACGAGACTTGCACCTCTCCCAAGTAGATGATCAAGACCGGGCCCTTTTCATGCCACCGAAGGCCCTGCGCTAGAAGCCCTGATATATCCCTGAATTGCCTGATGCCCGAAACCCATTCGAAGCCACCACGTGCAGGCGCGAGTCCCGGGGCGTCTCGAAGGGAAGCAAGGAGTCGTCTTGCATGACGTAGGCGATGTTCGATCGGAAGCTGATGGGATCCACCTTGGGCTTGTCACAGTCTAGGATGGACCGTTTAAACCACCTGTGCAAAATTCTCCTGACTCCCGTGATCCTCTTACATATCCCAAGGGCCGACCGGGGCCGACCTAGATATGTTCAGGCCTTGGGAACTCAAGTCTCAGGCTCTGAGGTTGCTTCAAGGATCCAGCTTTGAGAAGCTCAAGCCCCAAGATCCTACAACCGTGCTGCAGCCTAACCCTAAACCCCAAACCCCAAACCCTAAAGCCGAAACCCCAAACCCTAAACCCTACACCCTAAACCCTGGGGGCCCACACTCCTGCACAGGGCACTCGAGGTAATGAACCCAGGGGCTGGAGACCCTGCCGTGGTGATCTGCCCGGACAAGGACATGCCGGTGGCTTTCCTAAGCGCACCGCGGGAGAAGCATCCCCTTCTAAGGGCAACGTTGGGATTAAATTGTGCATGTTTTTTTTTTTTTTTTGGGGGGGGGGGGGGGGCTGCTTAAGCAAACAGTAGTGTTCGCTTGCTTTTTGTTTTACCTTTCTTCCATGTCCCCGTCGGGAGGCGCTGGAAGTTCACGGGGCTCCGATTTGAGTACTTCAGCTTGTTTTTGGAGGTTCTTGGTTGAGAGGGGGGGGGGGGGGCGACAAACTTAAAACTGCCCGGAACTGGGGTTCCGACCAATCACATGCCCTAGGTACCCAAGAATCTTGCAAACGATAGGGGTCGGAACAATTACTAATAGTAACAGTATTCCCTTCTGGTCCCTTTGTAAGCTTTAGCAATTATACTATAATGCACCCCCCAAAACCCTGTTCTAATTATTCAGGGCCCAAAAGTAGCCGGGGCTCGTGTTCTGGCGCCCTGCCAGGATGTTGAGCAGGGTGGTCTTCCCACTGCCGGATGGGCCGAACACGCCTCAAGCAGAGTTGTGAGGGATTTGCGGGGTGGTCGGGGGCACATGGGATGAAGGACCCTTGAATCACACGCTCAGAGGGTGGAGGCTGTCAGACAGGATCAATCATTCGGTACTGTTCTGAAAGAGATGAGAGAGGTTTCAGACGCTTCAAGCTGTGTGCGCTGTAGCCCCTGCGCAGAGTTAAGTGCACAAAGCAGGCCTACTGGTTTGACTGCGCGCGGCTCACCGTCTCGGCCTTTGACCTGTGAACCTCTGCTAGTGAGGGGGGCGAAGCCCACCCTCTACAAGCCCGAGGGGCGTATGTGGCTTCATGCTTGGATATGTGTGCTAACGGTGCACACACGAAAGATCAAGCAGCAAAGCGATGTTGCCAGCCTGTGAGCTTGCCAGGCTCGATCATTCCTGGTGCAAGCGTTACGAGTGGCGACAAGTTGCTAAAAAAGGGAATAGAACAAAAGGCGCTTGGGCTTTGGTGGCTCAGGGCCAGTTTGAGTGACCGGAGGTCTTCAGGTACAGTGCTCAGCGGAGGTTCTCCTCAGGATGTCCCCAAGATGAGGTATCTCACTGGGCTCACTGGGCTCACTGCAGGGCTTCTGAAATCGAATTCTTATTATTGCTTCTAATTTACCATCGCGGTTCCAAACGAGTCCTGTAATGTTGGAGAGGATCCGGTGACTGCCTCCGAGAAAGCGCAGCATGTCAAGTGCAACAACACCGCGTTCTAGGACTCTTGGTTTGCGCAGCAGTTGGAGCCACAAGCACCTCAGCACAAGACGCTGCACAGGGCAGCATGAAGAGCAACTACGCATCATACAGGTGCACGCACGCCCTTGCGTTCGCCTTGCATAGCTGTCACCGTAACGCCTCCAAGTGAACAGGATTTACCTCTGCACAAAGCTTCGATTGACCTTGCTTCGCTTTTTCAAAACGTCGCAAAACGTTGCAAGGCACAATCTCAACGCTAGCTTTTCACAACATTTGTTCGTTGCCAAGGTTCCAGTGAAGGCGAAGAGCACAAAACGGAACGGAGCAGGGCAGCAGATGGAAAGCAGGAACAAAGAAACGCACATTCGGTGATGCATTCAGCATGTCATCACCCCACACCCTTGATGCCCTGCTAGGCGTACCTTGAAAGATCCCGAAAGCTTGGCATGAGTCGAAGAACACCGAGGTCTCAGCTCGCCCAATCCTTCACCAATCGGAAGCCTGATTCACTTGACATACACCTGAGTAGTTGTGGCAGGAATGGGCCTATGGTGAAGGTCAAGTCAGACCATTCCATGGATCGGTCCTCTCCGTGCAATCATCCACAGGATACAGGGTTAGTCTAAGGGGTTCATGTGGTTTGGGGGGTTGAGGTCTTCTAAGGCTTGAAGGAGGAGTGGGCGCCGTGAAGAGCAGCGGCCCCTTCGACGCACGCCACGAGGTACTCTTGCACTTGCTTTGAGCAAAGTGGTGTGAAAGCCCGGCTCAAACTAGAAACGTGCCAAGTCCGAGCCGAAGCCATGCCGTTGCGACCCTGAATGACCCACACCGTTTCTCAAACCTCCAGCCTCAGGCATGGATATCGGATATACCTCAATCACCTTCGGAACTTAAATTCTTAGCTGTGTTTGAACTAGCTTGGCCCCCAAACCCTCGAAAAAAATATTCCTGAACATGATCCTCTTAAGCCCAATAACGGAAACTGTGTAATATCTCAAGGGCCTACCCAGCAAAAGGGCGTGGGCTAACAGAGCTCCTCAGCGTTGTCTTCCTGGGACAGCTGCCGCGAGCACTCGCGTACCTGGAGGATGCGAAACGCAGGGCTATTATGACTGTGATTGGTGAGTGTATGTAACCTTCCTTTTTACAATATGGGTGAGTGTATACACCTTTTGGGAATAACTACAAGGAATGCAAACCCTACTTCTGCTCCCCCCTGGACCCTTCGGGTCGGCGTCGCTGTGACCCTTCAGCCCCACTAAAAATCCAAGCCTGACGCCGCCGCAACTTGCAGCAAGTTAGCCTCAACAAAATCATCCGGGGGCACTTGGCGCATCCGCCCGGAACCTGCAGCAGTTCGAGCACTTTGGGAATTTTGGGCCGGGCTCCTGAGCACGGTGGCCGGTGGTCAGAAACAGACTCAATCAGGGAACCGGCTCCTGAGCTATGTAGGAACAAGGCTCATGAAACTGCCTGGGAAAGCTTCAAGAGTTCAGGTTCAGGAGTTCTACAGCTTTTTTGGGGGACCCCTACACCTCCCCAAACCCGAAAAAACAGAATCCTGACTCAGTGAAGTCCGCGGCGCTCGGCTCACGATCATCCGGGAAGGGCACGTCCGCCTCGCCATCCTCCGCGTCGCGCCTGGGAGTCGCTTTGTCGCGATCCCTTCGGAGACTTAGTGCCTTTTTAGCGCGCCTTTCGGATAACTTTCGGGGCCTTTCGTCGAAGAAAGACCGCAAGTCTTTCAGCAGCCCACATCAGGCCGAAATCCTCGAAACCCTCGGAACAGCAGACGAGTCTGTAGAGTCCGGAGCGCAGTCGAATAGAGAGATCCTCTGTCGTGGGCTTCATGGCTCCAAGGGCGTTGGGGCAAACAACCGCTGAAGGCCAAACTAGAGTGAACGTGAAGCTTCAAAACCGAGTCTTGAGAGTAGCCCTGAGACTTAAGGCCGATGCACATAATATGCCACACTTGCATGCGGACATCCATGACATCCTACGGCGGCTTGAGAAAACACCTTCGGGTTTCCTCGGACCAGCAGTTGTCAGAGGCACGCACAAGGCTTCGCATGTATCATTTGGGAGGGCTTGGGATGTTAGTGTTTTCTGCACTTGCGATCTTAGCTGGAGATTTTCAACATGGTTAGCCATTTTTAAATTAATGTGATGGCACCTTTTGTTCGTTTTACATAATTGCTCGTCTCTGATTCTCATGCTTGTCTGCTTTTAATGTTTTTTAGGATTTTCATTTAGTTTAAGCAAGGTTGCGACTTTAGCAATCTTAATCAACTTTCATGATTTCTCATTTATTTTCACTTACGTTCAGTTAATGTTTGAAAAACACCGTTTTGATCAATTTTGTTTTGGATCACTTTTTTGTGACAAAAAAGAGGCAATGTCAATTACTTCTAAAATAAACAACATTAGAATGAATGTAACCCATTCTTATTAATTTGGCGAACTTCAATTACTTCTGAATAGCGTTAACTAGTACTACTTGAATTCTATTGAATCTCGATTCACATTGATTGCTTTTTACTTTGAGTGATGAACTTGATCGCCCTACTCTAGGGATTCGCAGAGCATCTGGTCCGTGGCTTCGAAGGGTGCGATCTTCAGCAAAGCAGAAAGACCTGAAGCACTTCCCAAGGCTTTTTGTCCAGTGAGGGCGCACCATCTATGTACATCGGTGAGCTGTGAGCTCGTGCTGCAGTCGCAGCCAAGACATGCCCAAAGCACAGTTCAGTTGAGCTGGGGTAGATGTCCAGGGCTTAAGGGTCAGATTTTGGGATCCGGCCTGATTCAACACGATTGCATGCTCTGAAAGAATTGGTAAGAAAGACAGAGACAAAGGCAACAAGTCTCTGTGGTTGTCGCCTGTTAAGCTTGATACCCCGAAGGTGAGTGAAAGAGTCCTAAGGTGAACAAAGGATGTGACACCCCCGAGAATGAGACTTCTTCGCTGGCGGTTGTCAATCTCGAAAGGCGGATCTGCTGGGCTTTTGCCTCAGGCCCAACTGCGCACAAGAGCCAACAAGACCACGCTTCCTGCCGGCGAACCCGCTCCCACGCCACACTTTCCGTAGGCTTCAGAACTTCAGATTCTTGGACTTTCCGGACTATAAGATCAAGCTCCGGCTCAAGTTTGGATGCGAGTGCCACGCGGGCACAGGCCATCCACTCGATGGATGGCATTCGGCGGCACGGCAGCATTTTGCAGTGCCCTTGCCGCCGCAGTTATCATTAACGGTCGAGCTTCTTTGGCGACTCATGCGGCTGTCTTATAGCTTTCCCGTGTTGATTCTGTCTCCCTGCACTCTCTACTCTGCTCACAAGCAGTTCTCCAAGCGACCGCTCAGAAAACAAGCTTTTGAGATTCTACAGCTCGGGTTAACACTCGAGCTAGCACTCCTTAAATGCATCCAACCTCCAAAGCCCTGAACCAAGCTTACCGATATTTACCGATCCCAATTTGAAGTTGGGAGAGTCACGTGAGTCACGGCACGGTCACAGTCAGCGCTGCGGATGGACCTGCAGGCGCTTCGGGGATCGGAGCCGGACTTCCGGAGGAGAGGGTGGCAGCCCTCCAGCCGAGCACAGAAAGCCAAAAAAGAAGAAAAAGCATCCTTTCAGACGGGCTTTTCTCCGCGTCTCACACCCCCGGCTGCCAGCGTAAGCCGTATAAACCCAATCAACCCAAAACCCTAAACCCTTCGTCCCAGCGGCCAGGGCCCACGGCGTTGGCAGCCCTGACCTCGCAGGCGGCACTGCCGGAGGAAGCCTGCAGCTCGTGGGTGAGGACCTCAGAAATCTGAAAGATGCTTCTCTTGGGATCCCGCAAGGGTGGCGGGGGGCTGCTTCGCTTAAGGGTTGTCGCGTGTGCAGTGCAGAGTGCCCTTCCAGGAAGTCTCAGTTCACAACCCCTTCCTGGACCATTTCGGTAGAATCACAGCCTCTCACAGCCTCCCACCCCGAAATAGCGTGATGCGATGTGCAGGCCGAGCTTTTCTTGCAGGGCGGGGGGGGGGGGGGGGGGGGGGGGGGGGGGGAGAGCGAGAGGATTGCAACGAGATAGGACTCGGGCTGTGATGTTGGGGGGCTCAACCATCTCAGAACTGAGTCAGAATTCCCTGCCGAGAGGCCGTATTGAGCACGGTCTCCCAGGATCCGCTGTTGCAGCGCGCCTCTGCGATATGCGAGGGAAGATCGACACCAGAAGAAGGTTGCTTTAGGGGCTTTTAGTATAGCATTGGGGCTTTATAAAGGGCTCACAGAGCTGCAACGGCGGGCTCAGAAAGCCTTGGGTATTTCGGCGTTCCTTGCTTTGCTTCCCTCTGGATCAAGGGGTCAGGCCTCGTAGTGCGTTATGGGCACGAAGCCGTCTAAGCTGGGCAGCTGCCAGCTCAAGACCTTGCAACACTTGTTTGAGCTGAGGCTTCTTTAGGCCGAGCCTAGACTCCAAAAATCTCAAAGCCTCAGCACCTAACACCTCAGCTGTCTGTTCTTAGGAGCAGCAACTTCAACTCCGATGGCCACCGTGCCATGCCAAGCCTAGCTGCCTTTCATGCAGCAATGCACCTGAAGGATAACCCTGAAGAAATCCAAAAGAAACAAAGTCGAGACAACTCCATGCGGCGCCAACCCCTATTTCTTCTCCCATGGGTGGTTGTCCAAATTATGATCCCTTGTGGGGTACCCTAAGTACTAGGTGCCGTACTATAAGAGGGATCCAAAATTAAAGGGACCATCATTTCAACAACCACCCAGATTGATGACATGTCAACTGGTGCCCAGCGGCCACCGTGTCGTTTGCAACGCCGCTGAGCTCGTTGGGGGCTCCCGGAAGCTGGCCCGTGCTCAGGTGCAGCTCCTTCTGACGGGGCCGTTCTCAAACCCACGACGGAGAGATAGAAACAATTAGGTGCGAGTACTTCGCTTGGAGCTTGGAGGATTTTGGACTCACCCTCAATAGGCACTCCAGACCGCAAGCCACGAAATCAAGCTCTAGGAATTTGCTTTGGTGTTGTTGTGGTGCTTCCCTGGGCGTTCAGCCGCGTACGGGGAACTTTGGAGAAGTGCCTACGATATCCTGCGATGGCCTACGTCGTCTAGGTCGTTTACGGACCGGATCCTGGGTGAAGCCGCCATAGAAGCCGTTGTGGTTCTTCCTGATTTCGGGCTTCTGGGCGGCTCTTGGGCCCCCCTCCAGGGCTCGGGGTGGGCTTCGGCTTGAAGGCTTGCAGCGGAGGAGTCGCCACAAAGGGAACAAAGTAGCACGCTTAGGGACAGCGGAGCAGCAAGTTCTCAGAGCCGCATAAGCTCAGTCTGCCAGGGTTCAGCCTGACTTTGAAGGCCCAGAAAGAAGTTACCGGCGTGCGTGGGAATGTGTCCTCAGTAGGGCACAGCAATCGGAATTGTTAAGGTGGTACGAGTTTTCTCTTTAGCACTCGGGTGGTTGCTCATCTCCAGGTTCGACCCTCGGGATCGAGCTGCAGCAGACTTGCAGGGACGAGAATCACGATTCTTACGGGAAAATTCGGCATCTGGGCACTACGAGGCTGCGGTGAAGTTCTCGAGAGCACAATCGAGCACCTCAACTTCGTATGATCGGTATGTACAGCGGCCGCGGCCTCAAGAAATCCGTCAGCAAAGACCGCCAAACTCTTTTGAAACCCAAAAATCCAGACCTATGCGGTGCCAAACGTGACTGATGCTGCAACTTGTACAGTGTGACCACAGTTCAACAAGCCATGCCAAAACTCTATAAACCCTACACCCTTATAAACCCAAACCCCTACACCCTTAACCCAAAACTCTACAAACCCTACACCCCTATAAACCCTATAAACCCCAACGTTCGGGCGAAGCATCAATGGCCACGGACGGCGTGACGGCAACGGGGGGATCGCCCTCGGGGCTCTTCGAATTCGCAGGATGGCTGGCTTGGCTGGTTGGCCACCGAGATCCCTCGGAAAACAAAGCTTCCTAAACATTTCCTCATGGACCAAGTGAGGGAGCATATAACTCATACATAGTCCCATTAAAGACCAAGTTGAAGCCCTGATTCCCTTCCAAAGTTCGCAATATCCCGGCCTTCGCAAAGCGGCTTCTTTTTGAACATGACGTGTTCTCACCGTACATCTGAAAGGTGCTGTCGCTAAGCAAAAACCCACAAGACCGCCGAGAAGAGAAATCCCAGCTCGGCGCTCCGCCACAGACCGGAAGCTTTCCGAAGTCCGAGCCGTCGGCCCTAGAACCCTAACACCTCTAAACCCTGAAACCCTCTAAACGCCATAAAACCCTGTAACCCTAAACCCCCGATAAACCCCAACACCTCGAAAACCCCCTCAAAAATCCTCAAATCCTCTAAACCCTCTAGACCCTAACCCCTCTAAGCCCCTATGTTAAATCCTCTAAGCCCCTTGGAGCCCTGGACTTTTCGGAGTTTAGGAGGGGGAGGGGGGGGAAGGCGCCGAAGGCGCCTCGTGCGTGCTGATCTGGAGGAGGCTCTCCCAGCTCACGTTGCCAACATCGGGGTACGGCTTGCCTTCGGATCTGCCATATACAGTTGGTACTACTGTGTGCTACTACTCTTTGTTGCTATTTACATGACTCTTCCTTCTATAGCTTGCTACTACTCGTTACTATTTATTACTATTTACTACTAGTTGTTACTGTTCATTACTATTTCTTACTGTTTCTTACTATTTCTTACAATATCTTAGTATATCTTACTATTTCTTACTATTTCTTACTATTTCTTACGATTTCGTACTATTTCTTACGATTTCTTACTATTTACTACTACTTGCTACTGATAGGAGTTTTAAGTTGGAGATTGCTTCCTTCAGGGCTCGGACCCGCTCCGCAAAGACGCTTCAACACCTGGGACCTAGGATGGCAATGCTGCACCCAAAAGGGCCTGCAAAAAGCATCCCTTCTTTCAGCAGTTTCATAGCCAGTTCGGAACCCAGAACTGTTTAGAAGCCGACACCCCACAAGGACAAACAGGACAAAAAAGAGGACAAAGAGGACCAAAAAACAAAAAAAGGACGGGGCGCCCCAAACGTCGTACTGGAGACCAAGCTCCTCCCAGCTGCTGCTGCCCGCGATGGCGGGCGTCACTATGTCCCATGCCTCTGATGCACAGCGCTGAGGTTGTAGGGTGGGCTTTTGGGAACTAGAGGTTGTAGGGCTTAACTGCAATTTCGTGCGCCCTGCAAGAATGCAGGATTGCAAGGCCTGCTAGGAGGCCAAAAGCCCACGCGAGCATCCACCCCCCAGCCTCGTTTTGCCTATCCCTATCCCCCACTGTGGCCCCAAACTTTTCTTGCCAGGCAGCCAGCTGCACAATACCGGCTGTGACGTCAACGTTGGGGTCCCGTACGAGGCCTGTGGGAGCTCCTCAGGTTAATCGGGTTCTTGGGAGAATGGAAAGTTGGAGAGATCTTTGCGGATCTCTGAGATGGGAAGGAGGGAAGGGGGGGAGGGGGATGAGAGCCTACACTACGTCGCTACATCTCACCGAATCTTGAGGCAGGCTCGGAAGAAATGCACCCGAAATATCCGAGATCAGAATCCAAGCTCTGAAGCTGTTCAGAGACAGAGAGTCCTGGCAGAGGGATGCAGTAGGCCGCAGGGGACCAATCCGACCAAGCTGATACCCCAAGCTCCTGAGTGCTCTTCAAGGAAAGGGGCCCCGCTCTCTACAGGGCTTCAGACGTCATGTCGTGGCGTTAACAGGGATTGTTTAGACTTCCCCCCACATCTAAGATATGTCGCCGTAGCACGGCATGTTCATGCTCAGGAGCCGTCCGTGTCTACCACCTTGATCTCTCGACTCCAAGCCATAAGCCAAGCCCTAGGCAGCAAGCCCTTTCGCACTACAAAGCTCGAGCCCCATCTTCGTGACAGTGCTCTAGCTTTGCTTGCATTAAGGTTGAGATGCCCGGTTGTAGGCCAATCTTCGAATCCCTTATAAGCCTTAGAAGCGGATTACCTCCGGCGACAGATGAGGTCTTGGTTGCCAAGAAAGACAACAGTTCAACACCCTCTTCACCGAAAGATGTGCTGACTGCAATGTGAACTTGAACCCCTCAAAATCACGGGGAGAACTAGCCAAGGCAATGAGGCCGCCGAGGCACGTTCTCGGCCCGCACCGCGGCACGGAATTGCCTGCGTCTTTCAGCTTGGGCTTTGAAGGATTCAGGGCTGCACATAGGGCCTGATAGGACTTGGGAGGGATCCAGGGCTTGAGGGGTCCCACGGGCCGAGGGGTACCGTGACGCAGAGGGCGCAGCCAGAGTATGAAGGACAGCCTTAAAAAAACAAACTGTTTCAGGCGTGGGATCTTCGAGGTCCAAAGCTGACCAGATCCGGCCTGCCGGGCACCAGCTCTGACCAGGACGTGGAGTCCAGGGAGAGGTGGAGGTTGAGGTAGGGCTCCTGAGGGCCCCGAGATTTCTTCGAGAGTAGTTCAGGGGATGTTCGTAGTGATTGTGACAAGGCATGTAGGGCAGTTCTCCCCAAAGTGTGGAGCGCTTTTTGACATTGAGGATCCTTGCCCTTATGGAACCCGAAATTCTTTAGAGAACTACGTCTAGTAGGGGCCGTGTGCTCTTTGGGCATTCAAGGGTTGACGGGTTCGGGGGGCCCTTGTGCTCGTTGAATTTTGTTTTTGAAGTGGGCTTCGCTTGTCACTTTAAGGGCTTACGACCGGGGCTGAGCGTTGCTTCGGTTCTTCTGGTGTTTGTGGACCAAGGCTCATCAAAGGAGCCGTTCAAGATCCAGATCTGCTCGACCTGAGCACAGGGCAACTAGGCAGCTTCAGTAGGTTTTTTATGGCTTCCTGAAATTACCTGGGGGGGGGAAGGGGGGCACTTTCTAAGCCAAACTTGGGGCGTTGGGGCTCTCAGTGGGTCGGGGCGCCGGATCAGGAAATCGATAGCCAGGCAGCAAGCAGAGATGTCTCGTTGTCCGACGCCTCGAGTTTGAACTCGTAGCTGTGCACGAGCCGCCCATTCCTCGGTTCGCCACGGCTGCCACAGCTGTACCACCCCAACCCCAGCCCCTAAACAAAAAGAAATCAGAGGGAGACAGAGTTGGCGACCGAGATGAAGCCAGAGAGACCCCGAGATGAGGAGAAAGAGAGGAAGAGAGCGAGAGCAAGAGCAAGAGCAAGGGGAGAGGAAGAGAGGCGCAGAGCAGAGAGCAGAACAGAGAGCAGAGGGCAGAGGGAGCTCTTTTGGCTTCGGTGCTGAGCGCCGGCTTAGTGACGAGACAAGCCTCACAGAAACGACCGTGCAATGCAAGGGAGGATGCGGTAGTGCTTCTATGGATTCTATGGCCTATGCGGGGCCATAAGCCCCTACAATGATTGCTGCCAGCGTTCTCTGCAGCAGGATGCCAGCGCCAGCTCAGGCTGCAGTTGTCAGCGTCCTGCAGCCACGGCGGCTGTACCGTTGGCACGGTACCGACGGAGATCTCCACTACGTCGCTGAGAGGCCCTGCTCCAAACCTGGATCAAACTGAGGGCCCAAGACCTTCCAACTTGACCCGGTCAAACTTTCCTAAGCCTACGAGGAGCGGAAAGGTCTGGCACCCTCTGGGAAAATCTGATCAAAACCCCATCTCAACCACAGGAACTTAGACAGGTTTATGGTTTTCGGGTAGGATTTCATGGGAGCCAGTGTGGCTCAAGGCTCAAGGTCGAGAACTGCAAGCCCAAAGCACCTACAAACTGCAACACGGTGGGGTCTCTCAAGGCTTCAACCCCTTTTGAGGAATGGCTCAAGCCCCAGAATCCACACACACACACACACACACACACGTGTAGAATGGATTTCAGGAAGAGTGTCGGCTGATCAAGATTGAGCCAGGCAGCTGATTCAGCGCCCGGACACGGAAACGGTACAGTGTGTCCGGTTGCAGAGCGGAGACGGAGCAGCCAGTGGCGTCAGGGACGTGTGACACGCTTATAAGGTCCTGGGACAGACATTGAAGAGGCGGGTGCGGGCAGGACGCCAAGGAATCTATATTGATAACTCGACTTCATGGGCCCTGGCTTGAAACTCTACTGCAAATAATTCATTCTTGTGCTCCTACTCATCTGTCTTGCTCTGACAAAGGGGTTTCGTAAACGGGTAACTTGCGCCGAGATGTTTAGAGTTTAGAGCTCCATCTGCTCTCCAGGGGTCGCAGGTGTTGTTGACGCAGTTGGTGGTGGCAGTGCAGGAGGAATCCGGTTCGGTCCGCATCCTGGTTCCCGGGCCGTCGTCGCGGTACCTGGGCGGTTGGCTCTTACGGACAACCATAAAATACTCGACCACATGCGCAGCCCCCCTGCTTCATTTAGAGTCAGGGAGAGAGAGAGAGAGAGAGAGAGAGAGAGAGAGACAGAGAGGGAGACAGAGGCAGAGAGGGAGACAGTGACAGAGGCAAAGAGATGGAGACAAAGAGACAAAGAGAAAGAGAGAAAGAGAGAAAGAGAGAGAAAGAGAGAGAAAGAGAGAGAAAGAGAGAGAAAGAGAGAGAAAGAGAGAGAAAGAGAGAGAAAGAGAGAAAAAGAGAGAAAGAGAGAAAGAGAGAAAGAGAGAAAGAATAAATCAAGCCCCCCCCCTCCGAAAATCCCAAGGCCCCCCCCAATTAGCCCAGCAGCAGCTCATAGCCCGTAGGTGTGCCAAAGTTCATGTCCGGCGCTGTCCTCGAGAATCAGGTATCCTCTGTGCTCACAAGGTGGCCCGCAAGCCTGACCGATATCACTGAACTTTTATTTCAAACAGGTGTCCAGCCGACGTACACGACGCTGACTGTGGAGAGCGCCGTCACCAGGACGGGTGGGCGCATCTTGTTGGGAACCCCGCCTCTTCGCAGCATATAGGGAGCGTGACCCCAAAAAAAAGCTCGCTCCCAAAACCGGCCCGCCCCCCCCCTAGGGCCCCTGTAGAAAGACCCTAAACCCTAAAACATATAAACCCACATAAACCCTATATAAACCCTATAACAACCCTATAAACCCTATGGACCCTCTGAACCCTCTAATCCCCCTAAACCCTAAACCCTAAACCCTAAACCCTAAACCCTAAACCCTAAACCCTAAACCCTAAACCCTAAACCCTAAACCCTAAACCCTCCCCCCCTGGGTGCGCCTGCAAGGCTGGAGCTCCAGCCGCTGTCGCGGGTGCCAGAGGCCACGAGACTGCGCACCTTGAAGTCGTAGTGTGTGCCCGGCACCTCAAGGAGGAGTCGCATGGGGTTTATAGGGCTTAGGGTTTAGGGTTTAGGGTTTGGGGTTTAGGGTCTAGGGTTTGGGGTTTAGGGTTGAGGGTGTAGGGTTTAGGGTTTGGGGTTTGCGGTTTAGGGTTTTGGGTTTAGTGTCTAGGGTTTGGGGCACTTCAACTCCAAACAGCCCCGCAAACGAAGGCCCCCGGAACACACCTTTGCTTCTTGCTTCAGATGCACCCGGATCACCTCCGAAAGATCCCCCCGAACCCCCCCCCCCCCGGCAGGGATTCCGAAACTCCCCCCCCCCAACCCCTTGCGCCCGACTTCTCCCCGACTTCCCCACAAACCCTAAACCCTAAACCCTAAACCCTAAACCCCAAACCCTAAACCCTAAACCCTAAACCCTGGGAAGCGAAGGGACCAAGCCCTGGAGCTCGTAGTACATCTCGCTGGCGTTGATGACCTCGCTTTCGTTGAGGCCCTCGCTGGAGTTGCTGATGACCTGATAGCCTGGGGAGCTGCCACTGTAGGGTTTAGGGTTTAGGGTTTAGGGTTATTGGGATCTCAAAGCGCGTGATTCATGATCATACGGATGTCCGGATGATCCTATACCATCTAGCTACAGATCAGACCTCGGGGAATCTTTGGGGAGTTAAAGAAAGTTGGCTCGACATGATCTTGGGGTAGTTTGAAAAAGTTGCTTCGACACGCAACTCTTCCTGGCTCTTCACACAGGTCCTAAACACCGGAGTCAGTTGCGGCAAACTCCACGCCAAAGGGCCGAAAGTAGCGCAGATGTGGTCGTGGTCTGCTGCCGAAGCATTCCAGCTCAGGTAGACGGATGTCGCCGAAGGCCTGTGTTTTGCGGCCCAGAACTTGAGACTTCGATTGTGTTCAAGGCGACAAAACCGTCAGATGAAAACCCTAAAACCTCTTTCAACCCCTTGAGCCCAGGCGGCAGGTAAGTGATCACCGGATTGGGCGGAGCTTTGCCTCAGCGCTCTTTGTTTCGGCAGAGGACTGAGTAGGGAGTCGAGCTGCTCTTCGACGTTTTTGACTTTCACTCGCCGAGCCAAGGGGTGCCACTGTGTTCGGTTTCAGCGGGGCATTCTTAAGAGAACCTTATAATAATTAGGCCCCAAACCCATCTCAAAGGGAATAAAGGGCACCACTGGGCAACCTACACAGATTTCGCCCCAACGAGGCCGCCGAGGGGCAAGTTTGAGCATTCACCAGGCCTCGGCTTTGAGCTGAGTCTCTCGCAAAGCACCGGCAGAGCACCCTTCAGAGCATCCTCCGATCAACTGCCATGGGGTTTCTCACGGGTTTTCCGATGCCCTCTGCAGGACTCGGGGTGCCCAGCACTTCCTCTTTCCTCTGAGGTTTCAGGGCTCTCAAAGAGGGCTTCCGAGGTGCTGCTGAGCTGGGACTCCCCGGCCGGGGTCAGTGTGCTGACCTTTAGCCGAAACCACCTGTGGATCATCAAGGGGCAGAGTCGGGTGTCGCGTCAAAAAATAAAAACAGGTGGTGCAGAGTGTTGGTGTTACAGATTGTGGGACTCAGTTTTTGGAGGCGTTCGCGGAAAGTTGTGGGCGTTGGAGCCTGTGAGGATTGGAGCACCGAGAAAACCGTGCGCCCTGACACGTTCAAGGAATCCTGGCCTCCCGGAGGTCAAGGGGTAAAGTGGCAGGATGACGGTGTCGTTGTTTTCGTCCAGAGCAACTTCCTGGACAATCAGGGGTCTCCGCAAGTATCTGGGCCGGGGCGGCTTGGGGTTAAGGATACAACGTGTGTGGCTTCACGATTGACCCGAAAGAAAGCTGTGTGATACCCGGTCTTGAACTCCTTAGAGCCATTTACAGGCTCAGACCAGAAACAAAGTGGCTGACCAACATGGCTAGCAGGGTAACGCTTTACGTATTTCCGAGGCAGCAAGTTCTGCTAACTTCTCTAGCTTCTTTCGAAAGCGAGATTCTGCTTCAAAGCATGCTTCTTACTTCTTATGGTGCAAGTCCCAGCCCCATCTTAGATCACTGTGTTAGAGGCTCCTCCACTGCCAGGTCCCGGTAGAGATCGAGGTTGCCACCAAGGCCGTCGTCCATGTATATCCTGCGCAGGTCTGGGTGTCATTTTTGGGGGGGTTTCCGAAAATTCGGGGTGCCCTTTTTGGGGGGGGATCCCTTTAAGGGGCTTCTAGTCTATTTGGGGGATAAAAAAGGGGTACCCTAAACCCTAAACCCTAACCCTAAACCCTAAACCCTAAACCCTACTTTGGGACATACCCAAATTTCATCACCGCCCTAAGGAAGCCACGGACCTGTAGCCCAGCAACGGCGCGCCAAACAGTTCCGGCGTGGGCCAGGTGATCATGATCCTGGGGGTGACAAGTAAGAAGATTTAGGGTTTAGGGTTTAGGGTTTAGGGTTTAGGGTTTAGTCCCAGGAGAAATCGGAGCGCGATTCTAGTCGACCTCTCAGATCCGAAGGAATAGATCCCTTCAAGCCCCCCGTCGTGCAAGGCACCCAGAAGATTCAGGATGCGGTCTGACTCGGAAAGTTCTGGCAAGGCACTGCCGCGCGTCGGATGACCGCACGGTAACGACCTCAACTGGCCCAAATGGGTTTGGAATTTATAGGCTTTCCGCGCAATTTGATTCTATTGTGCAGGGCTCGGGCTCGTCATCATATACCTCGTTCGAACCCTGAGCCCCGAATCCTGGAACCCCCCTGGCCTCAAGCCTTGCAACCATGAACTCTCTATTGCAACGAGAGCGGCAAACTCCCTAAGCCTTCTTCCCTACTTGGAGGTTCATGGTACTTGTTAACCAATTCTAGCTGTACTTATAACCCACTTAGAAGCCCCTTAAGTGCCCTTATTTGGTTACAGGTACCGATATAAGTGCAGCTATAATTGGTTCATAAGTACGTACCCTAAACCCTAAACCCTAAACCCTAAACCCTAACCCCTAAACCTTAAACCTTAAACCCTTAGGATGTTGTAGGTACAGTTATAAGTACAGTTGTAATTGGCTCATAAGTACCATGAACCTCCAAGTAATTTCTGAGCCGAGCCCAGAAGCAGGCTGCGCCGGCAATGGGGCGCAAAAGAGGCTGGCAGAGACGGAGAGGTCCTCGGCTCCCAGGAGAATTGTTGTTCGGTGCGGGTGCTTTGAGGGTTTAGGGTTTAGGGTTTAGGGTTTAGGGGGGTGCTTCAACCCTAAACCCTAAACAACAAACCCTAAACCCTAAACCCTAAACCCTAAATTGGGTTTGTGCCCCAAGGTTGAGGCATTCGGCACGGGCCCTTGTGTAGCTACGGAGGAAGTGGTTGGATCATGGAATGAGTGCTCCCCTGTTCCACTGCATCGGCTTCCACTCCAATCCTCGCAGCTCTTTTTTTGGTCACTTTGAACCCAGTTTGTTGGTGTAATATCTGGTATGCACCGGGAAGGTTCATCCAAACAAGCCAAAAGAGCCCCTAAAGCTACTCGACACCCTTCAGCCTGAACCCTTTAAAGCCCCTAAGCCCAAAAGTCCCTCTAGAATCGGCCAAAGGTCCCCGGAGCCAGATGCAGCGGTCAAAGAGACCTTCGAAGCTCTTTCGGCTGTTCTTTGCGCAAGGGCCTATGGTCTTCCTTGCCGGGCCTTGAGGCACGCGAAGTTCGGTAGCGCATATGCAATACAACTTTGGGGCTTGGGGTTCTTCCCCGGGTTCTAGACAGAATGGCCTAGTACAGGTTTCGAGCACCCAGGCGCTCAGAGAACCGAGCAAAGAATGCGGCTGCTCTGCTAGACTGAGGAACAAGTTGGAGCTCAGAGGCTCTCTCTTAGGAAGGGACGTAGCCAAACTACAGAATGCTAGAGTCTTCCCGTGGGTTGAGGGAAAGGGGACGGAAGAAGCTGACATTCAAACGGTTCGATTTCACCATCGGTGAATACACGTGTCTAGTGGCAGTCTCATATTGTAAGTATGGGTAGTATACATGTAGATAGTGCAGATAGGAGCCAATCATGTGAGCATGTATACTAATTCCAACAGAAGGTCGCCAAAGCCAGCGTGCGTACCCGATTCCTGCATCCTAAACCCTACCCTACAGCTTGAAACATTTAGGGCGCAGGCCTTCATGTACACGTAGCCGTACCGCTGATCTACGATGGTGGGAACGCCATCTCCTTGGTTCAGCTGTAGAGCACTGTCGAACCCTGAATCCCCTACGCAGCCGCCGCAGCGAAGTATGCCTAGCCCTGAAATCTGCGACACCTCAGGAGGCGGAGGGTCTAAGACGGTTCAAGAGGATACCACCTTGCTGACCCTTGGCAACCTTCAAACTGCGCATAAGCACAACAAGCGAACCAGGCTGACAGGAGAAGGCGCGATCGAGCTGGGTATAATCCGGCGTCTGGCTGCAGTCGTGATCATACCTGCGAGCCGTAATCGCCACATGAACCCGAAAACCACATGATCCACCATTGTTGACGTAAGGCTCGAAGAGAGAAGGGAAAGAATTAAGCAAGTCCGCCTCGTTCCGCCTCGTTACAGGATCGCATACCCGGGGGGTAGGTGAGCCCATGTTCATAAAGCTGGCACTGCACCATCAACATCACAAGCATCTTGGACCACGGAAATGGAAAGAATCGACAGGACGACAGCTTGCTGCTGCCTGTAGTGCCCGCGGCTGTTGATATCTACCACAGCCCTTGCACCCCAATCCGGTTTGCTTGCGAGCCGCGTGTAGCCACTGAGGCTGCTGAGAACCTCCACTCTGCTCTCTCTCTCTCTCTCTCTCTCTCTCTCTCTCTCTCTCAAAAAAAAAATATTCAGGACTTAGGACGTCTAGGAGGCCAAGAGTTCAGAGGGCACCATGGAACTGTACGAGACTGGAGAAGTGACCAAAGGCATAGCAGGCATCACTCACTGAGGCCCAAAACCCCCGCAATCCAGGCTTTCGGAGGGGGGCTTTTACGATCTTTTGCAGCCCGGGGCCAAGAATATTTTCAGGAAGCCCGGAACTCCGAGTGTTAGAACCCTACGCAGATTAAACGTCCACAACTAAACCACGCAATTTCTTACACAATGCACCCCCTCCAACACGAGCACGGCCGCAAACGCCCCTTCGTTGGCCCCCAACCCGGAAACAGGGCTTGGGGGTTTCAAAGTCAGGGGCTTTTTGGGGCTGCTTGTTTTCCGTTTTGGGGGGTCATTGGAAACATCCAAACTCCTCCGGACCATCCCAGGATCCCGATGCATCCAGACCCGGAAGGAGCTTCGAAAGGCAGGCAAAGCGGCCCTCGTCGGATCCATTGCGCCCGGCCAGCCGCGATCGTCCGCTGTCACGTAGAGGTTGTAGTCTGGCACGTCAGCCCCGTCGCCTTTTGGACCGCATGGGGTTTGGTTTTCGGAACTTTGTCACATGACACGGAAATGCAAAGCAAAAGCCCCGAAAAGCTCCCAAGCCCATTCCCTGCAGCGCCCAGATGACAGCAGAAAGGGTAGTTCAAGAGTTGAGCAAGGGGGGCATAAAGCTGCCAGCGCCAGGCCCCCCAACATGTTTGTCCCCAGTTGTCGGAGCAGGTCACTCCACTGACGGTTCTGCGTCAGCGAGGAGAAGCCAATGCGCAGGATGGAGCCGTCAGAGTAGACGTAGGTTGGCGGATCCGGCGTTTCGGAGACGCCTGCGTGCGTCCATGAGTTCTAGGGAGAGGAATTTGAGTCATTGAGTCCTCCTGTAAATCAGACTCTAGCCACTGTGAAGGGGATGATGATCTCTGAGGTGCCTGAAACAGCCCAACATACTGCGCAGGTCACACCCAAGGCCCCAGGAAAGAAGCAGCTCTTCTTGCTCCGGCTTTCGGCCGCTTGAGGCTGTTATGCCAGGAGGGCGCACAACATGGGGGTCTTGAAAAAGTGACGCGCCACAGGCAATGCGGCATATGGAGTTGGTATTAGTACTGGACTTCCCGGTAACCCTAAACCCTAAACCCTAAACCCTAAACCCTAAGTACGTTCAGCCCCCGGGCCTGTGCTCATGTTCACCTGCCAGTCAGGATCCGGAGACATGCCGGCCTCGGTAATCCTCGGCTCGTAGGTCCAAAGCGGCCAAAAAGCGGCTCTCTGGACAGTTGCTGAACCCCTAAACCCTAAACCCTAAACCCTAAGCCCTAAGCCCTAAACCCTAAACCCTAAACCCTCAGCCCTAAGCCCTAAACCGACTGGTGGGCGTCTTGTTCCGAGGATCTAGACTCCTTGATCTCTGAGCCCTACGCTCCGGATCCATACCTTGCAATACTCGTGCTTGGACGACCCCGTACTTCTGGCTGAACCCAAGTCCCAGAGTTGGGCCCCAATGTCCACAACAAGCTCCAGAGAACCCCAAGGGAGCTTTCGAATGGTCCTACTTGTACCATACCGTCCTGTCTAGGGTCAACGCTTTTAGCAGCCTCTTGCCCGGAATGGCTCTGACCTTTGCCCTCAATCCTAACCTTGCTGCTCAGGCACGCTTGCACTTTGAAGGTGTACGTGTGCCAGGCCATCAGGCCAGTGACCTCGTTTGGAGGGTTTAGAAACAGCGTTGAACATGTTCTTGCGAGTTGTTAAACCTCCTCAAATCAAGAACTCCTCGCACAGTGATACCTCATCTCATCATAGCCAGTGAGTCCATGCACGGATCTTCCCGGAAGCAGCGAGTGGTTCTTTCATCCACTTGGGGATTTCAACGTTTCGTCGCCCTAAAGACACAATTGTGCGACTTGTACAGGAATTTGGGGGCCAGCGGCGTTGAAGCGCGGGTGGAGCGTGGACACGTGCACCGACTTCTCCTCGACGAGTCCGCCATCGGCCATGTGGGCGTAGGTCCTCGCAAGCAGAGTGGCAGAGGAGTGCGTGAGTTTTGCTTGGAGGCGTGCGGCACTCGTGTGGTAGTTTCGCAATTGCAGGCTATACTATAGATGCAGAGCCTTCTTAGGCCTATCAGTCACAGCCCATCCTGTGAGAATACAGTGCCAGAGAACCGGTGGGAATTGGTCACTGCACGGGGAAGCATGGCGAGGATGCAGAATGTGCTGGAAAGAGTTTACCCTAAACCCTCTAAACAATTCACCCTCATCCGGGAGTGCAGGCGTGGAGTGGAGCAGGTCCACATCCGAGTTCCTGAAAGCCCGAGCCGGAACCTCGAGAGTTGAGGAGCCCCCGAACCTGCCAAACAGCATTGGGAGAGCTTTAGAGCCTCTCTCGTAGTTTAGGGCGAAAGGCTTGGGGGGGACGTGCAGCCAGGTATCAGCTTGTGACCCAGCAGCGTGGCATTGTGGAGGTCGGCGGGCTGGAACTCAAGAAGGACGGACGTGATGTCGCTGCCCACCTGAACGGTAAAGCCTGGCCTGGACACCCTGCCCCAATAAGAGCCCAGAAATCTACCAGCGGAAAGAAAGCCCGAATGCATACACACAGCATAGACATGGCATACACACAGCATAGACAGGGCATCACACGGCCAGCTGCGCGGAAGCCTGGATGGGGGCCGGCTGCAGGCCGGGCGGCAAAGAGCAGCGCAGTGCCACGGAGTTGGAAGGCGGGCCTCTTCGCGCTGGCGGAGATGGGAGGAGGAGATGGGAGGGGGGGAGATGCTCCGGGTGCCTTTCTTTAGACGAGGGTTTTGCCAAACCCTTGGGTTTTTTTGGGCCTTTGGCTGCAATGTAGTGTTGCAACATTTGCAACTATCAAGCGATAGGCCCATCTCCCGGCGCTCTATTCAAGCCCTTAAACGAGGAAGACACTTCGTTCGCGCTTGATGCAAGCACTGGGCACGCGCGCCTTCACCCACGGCGTTCACAGCTGTCACGCGAAGCCAAAATGGCAGTGTCACCTTCACAAAGCTGCAGCAGCCTCCCTGAAGAAGGCAACTAGCTTCCTCGAGGTTCCCGAAAAAAAAGCTGACTAAACGACTTCCTTATGCAGAAATGCCCTCGAGCACCTCGCTGAGTTCGCACGGGAACGAGATGTTCCGCTCCGTAGCATTCAGTTCCTTGCTCCAGTAACGCAGGCGGACAGCTCCGTGATTTAGCGTTGGAGGTCGGGGCCTGTAGCTGTTGGAGTTCAACCTTCCGGTGCCTTGTGGCAGGGGCCGAAAGACCGACTCGAACTCAAGACTCCACCAACAAAGTCGTGCAGCACCCGCAAACTCCACATCCACCCACTGTCCGCTCTCTCACAGTTCCTCTCCCTCTTTACCTTTGCAACAGCACAGAGAGGGGGCGTTGCGGGTGCACGTCCGAACTTGTCGAGTCCAGGGTGCCGTGAAGTTGTCGCTCCAAACGACGCCGTCCGTGGATCTGTACACCCGCCAGGCAGTGAGTTCAGTGCCTCCAAGTGCCTTCTCCTGGCTCGGGAGGGTTCCGAACATGGGAATCATGGGCCGACCCTGGCGGACCTTCTGCAAATCAAAGGCCAAAATAGTAGGTTCGATTCGAGATGCGCAAGCACAGGCTTTAACTCATAAAGATGCCGTTAACTCTGCCCTGAGATCCGTCCTGCTCCTCGGGCCACGTCCACTGGGCCTTCAGGGATGGAAGCCGCTCTGCGAGGGGACTGCTCGGATTCCTCGCGGTGCAGCCAAGGTCAAGCAAAATGTAAACCCTACGTACAAAAATTAATGGGCTTAACAAAAACTCAGAATTTGAGCCCGCCTTCACCTAATTCTGATCCGAACCCAAGGTCCTTCAACGCAGGTCTTTGGGGCTTAAGGTCCTTGCAGCTTGGCGCAAAGTGTGGAGGTCATGCATAAAATCGGTTTACCCAACAATATTAATTCTAACACTAGTACAAGAAGTCAACCACTCCTAACTCACAGATGGGCTCAAGGCAACCCGACATCCCATATGCGACCGAGCAGCAGGGGAGTGTCGTCGTACAGCCAGCCGCCCAGACTTGGGATGCTCAGGTACCTTAAAGCCGAGCGCAGGACGTACGTGACATGCAGATCCCTGAAGCCCCTCAATACTCAAAGCTTGGACCATCCGGCGCGCGTTGGTGACTGCCGGCTACCTGTGCTGACGTCCCCTGTACCCGCAAAAACTCAGACACGCGCATCCTAACCGCAACAACACGCCTGTAGCTGCTTTCGGCCTCTGACGAACTGAAAAGCCGCAGTCCCCGATTTGTTGGCCCTCCACCCCTCAAGCCCCCTTGAAAAATGTGGCAGAGCTGCAATCGCCCGTCGGACCCCAAGCGCTCCTCCGTCACCTTGTTAGGATGATCTCTCAGCAGCTTTCGGACTTCGAGTCGAGTTCATGGCTGCAACATGACATGTGCATAACTTGGAGAAGCCTCCAACAAAGAAAGGGCAGGGACTGTACGAAATGTCGGGGGCTTGTGGGAACAAGACAGAGTTTCAGCTTGAGCTTGGGTAGCCCGCGGACCTGCCGGGTGGAGGTTTAAGCTCTGGCAGCCGCAAGTCGGGAGTGCTTCGCGTGTTCAGGCCCTACGTACTACGAGCTACACAAGTCAGATTGCTTCAGGGTTTAGTTAGGGCTTCTCGTGCCCTGCATTGTCCTTAACGGCCCAGCTACATCCCAGGATGCCTATGAGACGCGCGCCCCGCAAGGTCCACCACTGGGAAACCCATAGTTGCTCCCGGGGGGGCCTCCAGGATCGTGCCCTGAAGCACCGTCACGAACGGGAAGAGCCTGGGGATGATGGGGGGAGAGGCTTGGGGCCGCAGAGTCGAAAACGGGGGGGGACTCAGAATCCACAAATAGCCGCCTTGGCGAGGTGATGTCGGCGTCCTCTAGCACGTCCACGGATGCCACGGTGAGCTGATACCGCTGGGCGTAGGGGCAGAGTGCCTTGCCTTAACAATCAAAACGTCACCATCCAGCAACAGAACAGCATAACCCATATAATCGTAGAACAATACAGTACTATCATAATTATCATAGTGAATATAGGCAGGATCAGCGCGGCTCGCAGAGCGTCAAAAGGGCTGCCGGGGGACTGGTCCACCATGCAATGGCGCAGTCATCCAGCAGCGAGGCCACGGGCGCCGCACGAGGCTCCGTGGAGGGGACGAGGCTCCTCGGGGGACTCGGGCACTTGATCCGGGGCCCCCTTAGTGTTTTTGCCAGGTTTAGGGTTCATAGGGTTTAGGGATATACGTCTTGGGGAGGTTTCAGGGGGTAAGGTCTTGGAGAAGCCTCCCTTACACCGAGACCATACGAAACCCTGGGTTGCCACGTACAAAACAACGTATCCTATATAATGACAACCTATACGTCGCACTGAACTTGCTGGTGCTCTCGTATGCGGCTCTAGTGACTGTTGTGGTTCCCAGCGAAGCTCCAGACACATTCTCAGACCCTAGGGGCTTCTTGAGGTGTGGTTCTTTGGAGTTTGCATGTGTGAGTGTGAGAGCTGTCTACCCAACTCCTGCAGGGCCCACTTTAAAGACTTAAGACGCCTGCCAAACTAAGCACTGGTTCAGCCAGGCATCACCTCGGTCGGATCTCCCTCGCCCACCTCTGTAACGGCGGTGACCTTGTACCTTGGGGTGTCAAAGTAATTCTCGGCTTCGGCCGGAGGCTCTTAGCCCAGCTGTGTCTGGATTCCGTCGTCCGAGGGCTCAGGTAGGGGGCTTCCGAGCTGTGAAGGGGCTACTTCGAGGCGCAGCAAGGGTTCGTTCCATTTAGAGGCAACTTCCACAGCAGGAGAGTGGCTTGCCATACACCTTCCGCGTGCCTCAGCCATTTGGGGTTGTGTGAAAGCCCCTGTTCACAATGCTTCTGCGTATCTGATACTTGTATAAGCTTAATACTGGAATTCCAACGTTCCCGTGCGCTGGCTGGATTCTCAGTGATTTGAAAAGCAAGCTGAAAGAACTGGAACCGACCTTCCCATGAGCTGGCTGGACTTTCATTGATGGGCAGCACAAGCCTAGTTTTCATTGGTTAAGGCCCTACATCGCCCCACATGCCACTTCAGTCATCGGTGCTTGTACGCTCGGCTGGGGACCACGTTGTCCTGGCGAAAGACCCGCCGATCCGGATCGTCGATTACCTGGCATCTCAATGCAAAGCCACGGGCAAGGACAAACTAGTGATCCCAAACCCAAACCACGCTGACAATAAATCCTGAAACACCAAACCGAAAAGGACGGAGAGACTCGTGGCAGTGCACTGGTCGCCATCCTTGAGCCCCTCGGAACCCCCACATACACTTTACATAGGCTCTAGTCACCCACCTCGGCCAGCGTGTAGATGTCCTTCGCGTCCATGGAGTTCCCATCGTCCACGTACACCTTATACCTGAGAGGGTCCCACCCAAAAGCCGCCCCAAATCGTGCCGTGCACCATCGAGGACTTAGGCACCCTCAATCCATCCCAATCCCTGCAAGGCACAGAAACTCCCAAAAGCCCTAAACACCCTAAGAGCCCTAAAAGCCCTGAAAACCCCACAAGCCCCAAAAGCCTTAAAAGCCCTAAAGGCCCTAAAGGCCCTAAAAAAACCCAAAAGCCCTAGAAGCCCCAAAAAAACCCAAACCCCCCCCCCCCCCCCAAAAAAAAAAAAAAACAAAAGCCAAGCCAGAGCACCCAAGGAGGACGGCATCATGGAGATCTGCTGGCTCCTCCCACACCACCTGACGGCTTATTATTACTACTATTTTATTCATATTTATGTTTATTATGATTGTTATTCTTATTATTACTATTCTTATTATTCTTCTTAAATCCTCGGCTTCTAACGGGGAGCAAGAGAGGGCCAAAAGGGACCCAGAACATCGGAAGCTCCTGCTCTACACTCTTACAAATCAGAAACTACTTAAGAGGAAGCTTCACATATACCCGGAGCCTCCTGGGGGGCCCCGAAGAGACATTGAAGCATCCGCCGGGACACGTACATCGAGCCGGTGGTTCCCGCAGGGTCGAGAACGGAGACGTTCATGGTCCTTAGAGGATCAAAAAGAGTCCAAGCTTCAGGAGAAGACAAACCAGCTTAGGGTGTGGGGTGGTGAGTTTCGGGCAAACGACGCTAGGGGCTTCCACTGTTCAGCGCCTTGCATGGGATGCGAGAGGCGAGCGTCTTTGAGAAGGAGAAGGCTTTGCAGGTGTTCGAAGAGTCTCGTATTCCATGCTTTTGTTTTCACCACACTTCAACTCTTGAAACCTGCTTTCAAAACCCCGAACTGCCCAGATCGCCCTCGAACAAGCGGCACATTCTGTGGCGCGGATGGCGGGGAGGAGCAGCGCTGGGAGATAGCAACTGACAGAGGGCCTCCGGACTGATATGATATATGGGGGGTGTCCGAAATTCGGGGGGTACCTTATTCGGGTCCTTACCAAAAAAGGGAGCTGCTGTTGTTACCTGTGCTTGCCTGCACACCTCCAAGCCTCCAAGTATGAGGTTTGCCAGTGAAGGCTTCGAGATCCTGATTTGGGACCCGGTGGGACCGGGCAGCTGGAAGTCAACTGTCAGCTGCGTTGCAAAACCCCCGCTGCCTCAGAATGAATTGAATGAAGCCCAATACTTATGACCAAAGGTCTCTGTGCGAAGATGCCGCACTGTGGCTAGCTCCATGCAAGCTGAATAGCCCGACAAAACGACAAAACCCAGCTTCCCGGAACACTTCTGAAGTTCAGTTCCTCGTCCGACCGCGCTCCGCGCAGCCACCTGGACGGGTTGATGGAAGTTGATGGAAGTTGTCGATGGGCTGTTTCAGGCGTCATGAAGGGTTTTCAACAGCAATCGGATGAGGGTTGGTAATAACCAGCTTTTGTTTAAGCAGATCTGTTCAGGGTTTTGGGTTTAGACTTCTGCTGGCCCACCATTCATGCCTCATGCCCTGCAGCGTGTTCTGAAGTCAAGGAGCCAGCAAGGTCTTGGTCCATGTGTGGTTTCTTTGGTGTTCGGGCGCGGGTGCCCCTAGATCCCTGGTGGAGGCAATGCTAGCTTAACATCAAAGGCTCCGAAGAGAGGATGGTCGCCCAAGGTCCTGAAGACTCAAAAAAAGTCTTCGCGCGGAAGCGCGGGCAACCCAGAATCATGAACTTCTGCCGAACGAAGGTTGCTCAACCGTATCCCGGAACCTTAACTGCAGGCCACCTGCCTTGAACCACAGAACCTCCTTGGATCGGCTCTGGCCGGAGAGAAAGGCAGTCAGCGTGCAGTCCATGGTGTACCTCAGGCTGATGGGCTGTATAGGGTTTAGGGTTTAGGGTTTAGGGTTTAGGGTCACGTAGTGTAGCTCGGGGCCCTGGGGGCCCTGGGGCTACGGAGCCCGAAGCAAGGTTCCCCAAACCCGCTGGAAGCAATCGCACGTGACACAGTCAACTCGTCGCTGCTTAAGTTATCTTGAATTGATCCTTGTTGTACCCTAAACCCTGAACCCTAAACCCTAATAGTCATGGCAGACGGTCTCGTCATTTGTGCAAGGACATGTTTGTGCTTCGCAAGGGGGACAGAGTTCTCTCTGCGATACGCTCTCAGAGCACAAGAAACCCCAAACTCCACGCAGATCCAAGCGATGTACATGAAGGAACCCGACTCTCCACTGCCAGATGCACCCGCCCTCAGAAATCAACCGCTTCTGTAGTCCCAACATGTCCCCGCGCGAAATACTTTCCCTGAACTTCGAAGACTAAAAACGTGCTGTCAGGGCACTGAGTCGTTTGCTCATCTTGCCAGGTCGCGACGTAGCCGGTATCCTGCGCCCAGTCTTTCGGGGTCTACAGGACTCGGGGCTGTAGGTCGCGTATGGATGATCTTCTTGCCGGAGTGCGTGGTCGCTCCGAACCGGACCGTTCCGAGGGAACTCGAAGTGCGTGCCCAGGCGCCCCCCTCCCCACCCGATGTGTTCTTGGGCTTTTGGAAGGGAAGTCTTCAAAGTCAGGTTTTCCATGGGCGTCGTTGAAAAAACTGGGAGTCCAATCCCAGGGAGTCCAAAGCCCAAAGGAGCCCTGAGAGTCGTGGGCTGGACTTGCAAGGTTATGCCCTTCGAAATGGACAGCAGGCTGTTGAGGTATGTTGGGGGCCTTCGAAGCTTCGGGACCTTGTGTCTGTAATATCTGGGTTCGGGCTTCCTTGCCCATAGGGCTCTGGAGCCTTCCGTTTTAGGAGGTTCCGGGTGGTGGCGGGGCGTGCCCAGCTGTCCTCGTTCGCCCACGTCGTTCCATCCACGGACACGTAGAAGTAGTAGCCGGTGTGGTAGGCTCCACGCTCCTGGCTTTCTCCAGGGTCTGTAGGATTAGGGGGGTGTTTCGGGCTCAGGCTTTCCCAAGCCTACTCCCCGTAATCTGGGGCAGGGTATTTTGCCCACTGATGTCGTCTCATGCCGCCATGCCGAACTGCAATCTGCGCGTTGAACGGCCCTACACTCCACCCAAGGGCTCCTTCGACCGATCCAGCGACCACTCCACCACAACTTGGGAGTCCGTGGAGGAGCGGATGCCTGCGAGCTGAGCTTCGTTTGCGGAGAATTTAAGACGCTATAGATTGGGGGGGGGTTTTGGGGTCTGGGACTACAAGCCGTGGGTGGCTGACGTGTAGCGAGTGTAGTGTAGACAAATCTAGACTCCAGAATTGGAGCCGTGCTCTGGCACTGGCGAACCACCACGCCCACGAAAAGCAAAAGTCCGTAGAGCCCTGAACCACGGAACCACATGAGGTCTCTGGGTTTCGTTTTACCTGTGCGTTGAGTGGGGTCCAGGAAACCCTGGCTCATCATAAGACCCAGGCTCAGAAAGTTGCGCGCCAAGGCGCTCAGGCGTGGTGGTAGCGGTGGCAGAGCGAGCTTGTCAAGGCTCAGGAACGGTGAGAGGGCGCTTTCGCCGACTTCCTAGGTGACACGGCATCACGCTACAGGTTCCATCAGTTTCGTGGTGCTTCACTCCACCTACCTGGACCTTCATCAGGTCGAATCCGTCAATTCGAAAGCTGAGCCTTTCTTGGCTTCGAGATTCGGAGACAGCACGCAGCCCAAAGCGACACGGCTGCGAGAGGTTTGCAGACACGTTCAGCCTCGGTCGCTCACCAACTGCACTTAAGTGCGGCCTACTGCTCAGCTGAGCCCAGAAATGCAAAATGGATACGCAGTGGAATCTGAACGCTTGAAGCTTGGTGCTGAGGGGATTGAAGGGATTGAAGGGATCGACATCAGAATCCTGAAGCTTACGCACTTAAGCAAAACCTCAGGAAGAGCACCCGAGAAAACCACAAGCCACCCTCAAGGCAGTGGCAAGAACAGAGATACAGTCGAAAGCAGGAGGCCCAATGACGACTGACCATCCGTATGCACTTTCTACTGCAGCCCGATGGCAGGGTCACTGGTGCCACGTGCACACTCTCGACACCCACCATGCCAGTGCCTTTCTTTCAGCTGCACCAGGAATGAGGGAGAGAGAGAGAGAGAGAGACTTGGAGGTTCATGGTAAAGATTTACAAGAATAACTGTACTTGTAACTGCACTTATAACCATATTAGGTGGAGAGAGAGCGACTTGTAACTGTACTAAAAAACCATCTTCGGTGGAGAGAGAGACAGAGAGGAGAGAGAGATGGGCAGGTTAAGTTGTTGGCCTGTTGGCACTTGAAGCCCACGACCCCTTTGCGAGCAGTCGGTACGACGAAGCGATGGCCGCCTTTGCGTCCCTAAAGCAGTAACCGCAGCCTGGACACAGCCTGAGCAATGCACACCGTCTCTCTGCCTCTAGTGCGTGTACCTGAAAAAACCCTCAAACCCTGAACTTGGGATGGAACTTGGGATGTTCATGCGGATTATAGTACCCCCTTTTTTTTCAGGGGGAACATCCCAACCCTCAAGCCCTAAAACTCTGTGTTCACTCTTCAGGGGCGCCGACTGGGCCCTTTGCGCCCCCTACAAACCGGGACGAGGCTCGGAAGCCGCCAGGGGCACACAGAGCAAGCACCTTTTGACAATTTGGGGGCGAGTAGGGGCGGCCTAAAAGGGGGGGGAGGGGGGGGAGGGGGGGGGGGAGTCTCTTTGTGTTTTTCGCGTGAGTTGGGAGATGTTGGGAGTGCTGATGATGTGAACATGTGCTGGACTTCTGCCTTTGCTGCGGCACAGCTGAAAGCTGAAGCACTGAGATGGTTCTCTGACTCTTGGAGTGCTTGAATACATCCCGAGGATCCCCATGCCCGAAGCTTCCTGCAGCCCAAGCTGGGGTCCAGTATGTTGCGTGGCTTTGGGGTTTACTGTACATCCTAACAGCCGAAGGTGCCCTGACTTGGCCTTTTCGGGTCAAGGCACAAAAACGCAGGCAACAACAAAAAATCCCCCCCCCCCCCCCCCACACACACTCTTTAGTCACGCCTTCACGGCCAGGAGCTTCGCTCCATACAAAGCAGGCTCGGTCCAGCTCCTCAGCTTCGCTCGGTTTAGGGTTTAGGGTTCAGGGTTCAGGGTTCAGGGTTCAGGGTTTAGGGTTTAGGGTTTAGGGGATCATGGGCTGGGGCTGAGGGCTTCTAAAGGCTCAATAGCATCCAACTTCGGGCTTGTACGGAATATATTTTAGGAGATCTCTGTTGGGTGTCAGTCGTGGAGAATGAGAGGCCCGATGCGATGGGGTCAGCTTCATTCATCCCTGTGCACCAGCTGTCGCATCACCAACCAACCACCCCCCCCCACCCCCCCCAAAGCTCACGTCCCATCACATGCGAGTACCACCCAGCCAAACCGTACATGACAATGCGCTTGATACTCAGCTCGGCGTCAAAAGGGCATGGCCCGACTGAAGATCTGCAAGCACGGGCGCCACAGGCGCATCAGGAACCTGCAAGACACAGGGTCAAATCTGCTTGTCGCGCGGCTTTTCAGCCGCCGCTTGTGCCCACCATTGCCGCCAATTTGCGCGCTTTCGAAAGGCAAGACTTTGCCACGGCTCGTGTTTAGGGCTTACGGTTTTCGAGAATCTCCACTGATAGGGTCCGGGTTTGCTCATTGCTGTCCACTCTTGTTCAGGGAGGATGAACAGGACTGCCGGCTTGCCCTACCCTGCTCCATTTTTCAGGATTCGCACACAAACATCCTGAATAGTGGCTGTTACCCGGGACAGTGCTAGTCCCCGGACGCTGGCGCTTTCCTCCCTAGTAGCCCTAGCAAGACGGCAGCGATAGAAGCTACGTTAGACGCTTGGCGGATGCCAAGTGCCTGAGAGGAATGTTTTCGTTGGTATTTTATGCACGGAAGTCCGAACTTGCTTGAAACCAGAGCACGCGACCAAATAAAGCCTGCAACCCCGAAACATCCCCAAGCAAACTGAACCCGATCACATTGAACTCTTGAATCCTACATCCCGACACCTTCAACAGATACCAAAGGCCTGTGAGCATTTCCAGAAGACGGCATCGGAAAGCTCGCCGACACCCACCGGGGTCACTGCGGCGACTCGGAACCTCAGCGTTTGCAGGGGCTTCGAGGGGCTTTCGGGAGCATGAACACGGACGAAAATGGGGACTCCCAAAACGTCTAGCAGGAACACAGACCACTGAAGCAAGGAAAAGTGGGCCGAAATCAGGCAAGGAGCCAGAGGGCCTCTTGGGAGCGTGACACGCCGAAGACACCGGAGTCCGTGCAGTTGACCTCGGGCAGCCGGGAGCACCCGAGGCCCGAGGCGGGGAGGCCTTTACAGTCTCTTTTCAGGGACTTGCCTCTTTCATGGGAAGGAGAAAGCAGGAGAGAAGATTGAGAGCTTGTGGTGCCTCCGTGCACAGATCAGCCGTTGACAGAAAGCTACACGGCAGGTTTCGTAACTTTCGTTGTCGGATGAGGCGAGTTCACACCCCAAAGCCAGATCCTTGAACCCCTGAAGGCACCGCTACCTCGAATGGGTCTTGGGCCACAGGGCTCCAAGTTCAGATCAATGTCTAACCATCGTCACCCCAAACACCGCAGGAACGGCCCAGGTGCGACGTAGGTGGGCACGGGGATGTTGCTGAAGGTCGGCTGCAATGGGTCGAAGTAATTCGTCCCATCTCGCCAATCTACATAGACGTGGAAGCCTGTCAAGTGGAGATCTCATGCAGGGTACTGTAGGAAGGTTCCACCTTCGGGTCCATAAGACGTGGGTGGTCCACCAGCGGGTCCCCTTGAGCACAGGGAGCGAGAGAGAGAGAGAGAGGTTACCCTCAAAGAGTACCCCTATTTTCGGAAACCCTTATGGTGCTAAGAGTTTGAGTAATCAGCAGAGGAAGAAGCAGGAGTCCGATCCTTCCAGGCCATCGTTGTCGACGCCTGGTGACCAGGTCCAGGACAAGGAGACGAGCTCGTTCGTGCTCCTCAGAATATGAGTGCACAAAGGTGCTCCTACTACTATACTGCAAATGTTACTCGTCTAGCACTACAAGTATTATCAGTTTGCATTTTTCACTCTCGTATCATAAGGTATGAGTCATTGGCGATTCTGCCCTATGAAAGCTCCGAAGCGGAAGCCGCTTCTATCCTTCCGCTCCCTCGCTTTTTGATCAAGATGTGCGCTGGTTTTCGAGGAGAAATTATCGACTCCGAGGCGCCAGTCCACCGACAAGGTCGGCTTGGGCGCAGCCGTGTTCAACTGGGTGTACCTGAGAACTGGCAAGTCGTTCACTGCCGGAGACCTCGTTTAATATCACAGGGTTTTGCATGTCATGCGCTTATACGACGATGTGGGATCTCGAAGTGCATGGGCGAATGACACCTCAAGGCTTGAGCGGTCCCAAGGTCGGACATGGATGGATCTGAATGCGATGCCCTTGAATGTGCTTGACAGAGACGGAGGCTGCAGCTTGTGGTTGCAACCCCCAAGCTTGTGAAAGCAATACGGGAGCTGTAGGCATCTGCCTGGTCCCTCTTGAAGTCCTCCCCTCGGTCCCTCCGAAGGTCCAGGTTGCGTTGCATCAGACATGGCCCCGACTCCGGCCAGTGAGACCACCGCATATGCCACGGCGATGGGCGTGCCCGGAGGCAGGTCCTCAGCAGCGGGGAGGGTCCGATGGAAAAAGGGGCCAGAACAAGCAGTTCAGCATGGGCCAGAACCAACAGTGCAATGGGGGTGGAAAGCCGTTCTCAACATGAAAAAGGGATGCAAGGGCTGCCTCAGGCGAAGCTATCGTCGTTTTTCGGGGTTTGGCCAAAGCGCCTCGACTCTCATCCACAGCATCGGTAATCAACAACATTTCTGATTCGTGGGCAGTACAGTCAGTAGCATCGTCGAAAGAAGTGGAGTGCGCATGCTCAGCCATTCCCCTATCGGCATTTTTTGGGCAGCGCGGCACGGAGGCATGGAGGCTGACGAGGGGCAGGAAAGGTGTAGGAAGTCAGGCTGGTGTCCGTGATGAGGGACGCCTCCGGCTGCTGGCCGGTATCCAGCCTGGACGGTTTTGTGGGCTCCAGGGGGCTCCACCCAACTCCTTAAAGCTGACAATCCCCAAAGGCATAGCATCCACTGAAGTAAACCATCCCCACCTCTCTAAAAGGCTTCTGTGAATAAGGGATCGAGGGCTTAGGCCTTTATAGAGGACTGAGGGTAGGCTACGGGTACGTATAGGCTAGTTGGTTGGACATGTAGTCGCTACGTTCGTGCGTAAGAAAGTGAGCTTCCGAAAAACTACTCACGACCTCACCTTGCACACAAATGTCCCAACAGAATGGCTCGGCATAGACGTTCAGGAAATCACAAAATATGCACCGACTGTTAGACACCCACCTCGTCAGCTGCACCCGCCATCCGCTGTGCAGTGCCACAGTCTCGGGGGACTGTCCTGCACCAGGTATGCCACCAGAGAATGGCATGAAGAGTAATTAGAAGTCATATTCTGTTCATTGCTTCCTTTGCTTTCTTGCTGTGAAGCTTTGCGCCGCAGTCTGAGCTTGAGCGGAGGACCTCAATCGCAATGCCTCAGGCCAGCACAAACTCCCCGAGCTAATCCCCCAAATGCTCACCGCGAGGAAACAAAACCGGAAAGGGCACTGAATTACTACCCTGAACCCTAAACCCTAAACCTGAAACCCCTCGGAGCCCCCCAGAACTCACCAGAACTCCTGACAGCGTCAACTCCACAGAGACCGTGAACACGCCCGCCATGTCGCGGGGCGCTCGGCGGAGGAGAGAAAGCCTCAAGGGTTTAGGGTTTAGGGTTTGGGGTTTAGGGTTTAGGGTTTAGGGCTTAGATTCTGCTGAGAGGTCTTTTGCTAAAGGATTCTTGGGCGGGGGGGCACTTCGCAAATCGTCGCTGTCTGCTCCAGATTGGTCTTCCATATCTCGTGGAAGCTAAGTGATTCCTCCCCTTTTTGTCATCTGGCTTTTCGTGGGGTAGCTTTCAGGCTTCTGAAACGCGAAGACCGTTGCAGAACATCACCTCGAAGGCTAGTCGGAGGCTCATTGGAATTGGGAGTTCCACGAAGCACATAGAAGTTAACAGGTCGTCACCTTTCTTTTGTTGAAACGACATCATGAATAGCCTCCACCCCCTTCCCCCACCAAAAGGGGAAATAGAGGAGCCTACTCTGGATCGCTTTCGTAGTTTTTGGGGCGACCTTGCCAGGACCTTGCTCTTTGCCAGGGTGACTGCATTCAAAGCATTGCGGGTTGAGATACCCCCTTCCAGCTCAACAAACTGCAGCACACGTGGAGAATTTGGATATGCAAACAACCATAAGCTGTAGGGTTTTTTTGTAATCTCCTCCCCCCTCCGTTCCTGCGATCAAGCCCAATGCAGGGATCCATGAGCCATGAACATCATGCATCCTGGCGCCACGCATCCCACGTCCCGTCCCATACAGTGTCCTACACTCCGGTCACCGCAGCCCATCCCTCAACAAATATCGGAGCCCTCTAGAGCAGAACCCAAGCACACGGACGACAAACACTGAGGGCCTTGACATCACCAACCCAAGTCAAGAATAGCAGCAAACATCTTCCGAATCCCGAGCCCGAAGCCGAGAAACGAAAGCCCGGAAGCCCCCAAAAGGACCCTCTGGAGCCCCCGCAAAACCCTCAAACAGCCCTAACAAAACTCCCCCCCGCCCCCCCCCCTTCCCCGCCCCCCCCGGCAAAAATAAAGGACAAACGTCACACCCAAGGCATATCAGCGCGATCAAGGCTCGTGGGCTTGGGCGGGGCCGTCGGCCGCGCCACGCAGAAGAGCCGGGCGGCTGCGGACTCGAAGCCGAAGCTCCAGGTGCCCGAGCCATCCACGGCCATCAGCTTGAAGTAGACCTAGGGAAGAAAGGGTTGCTTTGGGATTCTTAGGGTTTGGAGGGTTTTTAGAGGTTTTTGGGGTTTACAGGGTTTTAAGGGGCTTTAGGGTTTATAGGGTTTATAGAGTTTAGGAGGGCGCTTCAAAGGGGGGGGGAGGAGTTTGGGGTATTCGGGTCGGGACAGTGACTTGGAAATGTTTTGTTGGATGTTTTGCCAGGTTCTTCAGGTGGTTCTTCTGGTTTTTTTGAGACACCTCGGGCGGCCAAGAACTCGTGTTGGACTCGTTGCAGGCATAGGTTGCGACCTTAGGTATGAGAGAACGGAGCTTCGCCCGTCCGAAAGCTGAATACTCAACTCCCCCCCCCCAAAAAAAAGACAGAATTAAAGAAAAATAGAATACCTCTGACAAAAACGGCGTTCTCTTTCTCTTAAGCCCGGGCGTCGGGAGCTTCGTTCACGGAGATGCGGGCCACCTCGGTGAAGGCGCCGGCCATGTCGGCGCCGGTGGCCGTGGCGGCCAGGAGCCGGAAGCTGCGGGTGAAGGGCTGCCAGCGGGTCTCGGGATGCGTGGACCATCCTCGGGAAGCGTGCTTCGATACAACAGTTTAACGGTTCGGTTTCGGCTCCCTGGCTGCGTGGAGCTGGGCTGTATCAGAGCATCGTTCAGCGATGTTCACTGCTGGGATGCAGGCTTCGGAGTTCACCAATCATGGACCAAGGGTTTGTTGGGGCTTCGACAGTGCATGCCGGGTTCCACGTGCACGCGTCGGTAGCATCTGGATGCAACTTGCTGATGTTGATACTCCCCTTCCCCCTTCCCCCAAGTCGCGCGGCAGATGCTTTCCCATCCCACTCCTGAACCCCAAAGCCATCTCAAGGGCCCCCCAAAGCCCAGACCCTCCCCTAAACCCTATAGACCCTAAACCCCACACCATAGTTTTCTACTCAAAACCCTAAACCCTACAGTAAACCCTAAACCCTATACTCCTATAACCCTAAACCCCAAACCCCAAACCCTAAACCCTAAACCCTAAACCCTAGCTGTATACCCAACACCTCCTGAGCCTTCGAGGCTCCCAGGGTCAGCTGCTCTGTCGCGGCATCGAAGTCCACAGCGTAGGGGGCCGTGGGGCCCCAGGGCCGATCTGCTGAGTTTAGTGGTTCGTAGCAGGGTTTAGGGTTTAGGGTTTAGGGTTGAGGGTTCAGGGTTTAGGGTTTAGGGTTTAGGGTGAGGGAAGTAGGTACCTTCAAGACCCCCTCCTGGGCTCAGCAGATTAGAAAGGGCAACCGCGAAGCTCGCGTCTTCGGACTCCGAGAATGTAGGAGCAGGTCTTTATAGATCAGACTTTTCTTTGGGGCCCTGTGGGGGTGAGAGAGACTTAGCACTGAGCACATGGGATTTGGGTAACCATACACCCCCAATAGACCCTGGGTTCAGGAGGGCTTAGTTTCTGGTAAAGAGCCAAGCAACTCATAGCCTGCCTGAGGCCCGTCGAGACTTCACTCGATTTTCACAGGCAGCATGCTGCAATCGTTCGTCAGAAGCCCTAAACCCCAATTCCTAAACCCTAAAACCTAAACCCGAATTAAGCGCTATAATCCCTGTAAGCCCCTAAGCCCTACTACACCCTTTGAACACTCCTTGTGCCTGCGGGAACCACAGATGCCGGCGCTGAGAAGCTGCTGCAGGCGGCTGCGTCACAGGTCCGTACCCGAAGCTCCTTTGTGGCAGTAGGAAAAAAGGGCGGGGGGAAAGACGAGGTATCGAGTTTAGGGCTTCATTAAGGCGAAAAGGGTTTATAAGCAGAGGAGCGCTGCCTTACAAGCAACATGAACCACAGACACTTTGCCAGCCGCAAAACCCCCAAAGAAGCGGCCCAGGATCATAAAGCTCCACGGGGCTCAGCTCCGCGACCTCGATCTCCGGTAGGCCAGCAGTGAGGGAGAAGGAGGTCTGCAACGCCACATTGAGGACCTCGACAGGTCACTGGCTCTGCTGACGTGCTGTTTATCGACGGCTCTTAAGTCCGCATGATGGGCCTCACGAAACGACGCGTTAGTCCCATCACCCCCTACTTCTTAGATCCGCCTGAGGCTACCCAAACTCTATATGTGGGGAGCCGCTTGTGAATCAGCACCAGTCTACTCAGTCTGCCCTGGCCGACCTGGACTTCATACCAGAAGGTGCAGGACATCATGGGCAGGTCCTTGCAAGCACTGGGTGCAGGCTGCATAAGGTCCCATGCTTCTCCCGTACAGTCCTGCCAAGACAGACGTACCGCACCGGAACGAGCCGTGAGCATGAGATCGCTGGGCGGAGTCAGCGGCAGCGCGGCAATCCTCGGCTGGTTCGAGTGATTTGGCCCCCATAAACAATGTTTATGGAATATCCGCAAGGTCCTTTACAGCTCGGGCTTGCGCCTGTCACTCTTCTAGGCCAAACTGAAGCCAGCTCGGAAGCCCCAGAAGTACTTCATCTACACAATGGTTCCAGAAGCACTTCATCTAAACAACGGTCGTGGGTCCTCATTATATTCTTTTGCTGAATAAACAAAAAAATGTACGTACATGTACGCAAGCTAACAATGAAGCACAACGCTGCACTTGCAAAGCCTGCAGGCTATCCTGCCTTCTGCCATGAGCCCTCTGTAAGCTGCAACAAGCCGACTCAAAAGCCGAGTTATCCAGCGCAGGGTCCCGCAGCAAGAGCCCTAAGAGTACATTACCACAAGACTGAAAGGCGAGGTACTCAAACAATTTATTTCTCCCGATCAAAGGTACCCTGTGCTCATACGAAGCTCTGGAACTGGATGGGGACATTTCCCTCGTGTCAGTCAAAACCCTGGAGGTTCGCAAGGGAGCACAGGCAGTCCAAATAAATGCTACAGGTCCTCACTTAAAACTATCCATGAAGCCCCTTAAACGTGGGCCCCAAGATTCCAAGCGGTGGCACTGAAGCTCCCAGCGCCAGCTGAGCTGAGGCCGCGCACGCGGAACTGCGTGCAGAGACGAGTCCTTCTTTTGGGGGGTGGACAGCCATGTGCAGCCATGTCATGCGGAGGTCACAGACATTGAGTCTGTTTGCAGGCGGAAGCTTCAAACTCATCAGCAGTGCCGTCCGATTTTGACATGCATGCCTGCCCGGGACCTGCCCACTGCCCTTTGCAGTCTCAGCATCAACATTCTGCTTGCATTGGCAAGAGTCGCATTGTTTCCACCAGGGAAAAACCAAGACAGGGGAATCCTGGGATGCGCGCGGTATGAGGCTTTGCTGCTTCGTTGCGTGTCCGAGTCCTAAGAAGATGATCCCTTCTCCGTTGGAGACCAATGCGTAGTGCAGCAAGTGCCTATTCTTGACTTCAGCACCCTTTAACCGCAGACGGTGGCTCACATCGCCCACCAGCCGCCCAACTTCGCCCAAGACCAGAGCCCCCCCCCCGCTTCAGGACTCTGCATGATTCTGCAACCGCAGCTGCTGCCATGCAATGTAGATCTGCATCAAAATATGTACAAATGTAAGGGGTCGGGGGTCCCCAAGCCCTTAAGTTATCCCTCAAGGGATCGGAGGCCCATGTGCAGCTTGCAGCCGGGCGGCTCGGCTTGCGCAAGGCTGCCGGAGTAAACTTGCTGGTCCGGAAGGCCACCGGAGCCTGCGTCCCAGTACAGCTCGTAGGTGGTCGCCTCCTCAATAAGACAAGGAAGATCCCACGGCTTCGGGACTGAAACGTGTGGGCTTTTAAGGGGTCTTTGAGAGATGTCTCCGGAGAACCTCATTGACTTAAAAGGACTTCTCCGCCCCCAGATCGGGAATTTTGAACACGAATGCGCCGCAAAATGCCCCAAGAAACCTCCTGTAAAATAGCGCAATGCGCCCGTGATCCGCAAGCCAGGCTGCGGGCGCTTGCTGGGCGAACCTGAGTCTGATCTTTCAAGATGAGAAGGGGGGGCTCTTGGTTCAGGGACCTATAGGATTATGGGGGTTTTGGGTTACAGGGGTTAGGGTTTGGGGAGTTTTTTGGTTCAGTGGCACAAGGGGCCTCCTCTTTTCGGAAGCCTTGGGAGCCCTTGTGAGCCCCCCAAAACTTTCCCCGAATCAGGGCAAGGCTCCTGCTCTCAAGAAGGGATCCAATTTCAGCATAGGTCTTCTCGAGCCCGGGGGTCGGTTAGCTTTACTTACCTTGCTCGAAATTGAATGCTGACATCAGGAGCCCCTGCGGTGTCAGTCTGAGCGCAGAGCTGGGCTTGCAGCAGCTGGCATGACGGCAGCGCGCCGTTGCAGCTGAGCTCGCGCAGCATGGAGGGTGTCCAAAAGAGATGGACGCCTTCAATCGCGCACGGGAGTAGCCAGTCTCAGGCTGCAAGCATCGTTCGAGCTCGATGGGGCCTTTTAGCGTTTGGCTATGTTTGGGGAGCGTCTTCCGTGAGAGCGCGCCGATATGACGACCCGGATCTACTTGTACGAGTGATCACATGCGCCAGGCATGCCAAAACGGTAAATGCCGTGTAAATCCCTAAAAGCCCTAAACCCTAGCCCAGCAGACCTGCCACCCAGCCTGTGTCCGAGACGTTATCGAGCTCGGGGGCACCAGGAGCACCTGGCCAGGCGCAACCCACTTTGAGGGGCTCTTACGTTCTGACTGTGTGGAGTCAAGCTTGGGGCTTCTATAGGGCTTAAAGGGTCTAGGGTTCGGGGCTTCTAGGCCGTATCTCTGAGGCGTCAGTGTTACACCCGGATCGTGCTAATCATAAACCGCGATTCCCCTCACCCCCCACCCCCCGCAATCACCCCAGTAAGAGAAGCTTTGCAAGCTCCAACAAAATTTCTGAGTACAATCCTTGCAAAGCCGGCGAGCACAACCCCTAGCCCCCCCCCCCCCCCCCCTCAAAAAAAAAAAACATCAGAAGAAAAGAAAGAATTGTCCCTGAAAGCCTGAAACCCTAAACCCTGAACCCCCCAAAACCTTCTCAACCCTGAACCCAAAGAAGAAAGCAAGCCCGGTTGACGTTTAGGGTTGAGGGGTTTTAGGCTTTATAGGGCTTATAGTGTATAGGGGCGCCTGGCGGCCCCGAGGCCGCGAGGTCCAGGGCCGAGCTGCGGTTGCCCTCGAACTCCTCGCGGACAGGGGCTTTGGGGTTTTGGGGGGTTTAGGGGTTTTGAGGTTTAGGGTTTGGGGTTTAGGGTTTGGGGGTTGAGGGTTTAGGGGTGTTGGGTTTAGGATTTGGGGGTTTAGGGTTTGGGGGTTCAGGGGTTTCGGGTTCCAAGGTGTGAGGGCTGCAGGTTTACAGGGTTCCCGGGCTTTTTGAGGTTCTGGGCGTTCACAGAAGTGAGGAGCTCTAGCGCCTCAGGCCCAGAGATTCCGAAAGCCGGTCCTAAACACCTCGAAACCACCGGGAAGGTTGCGGAAACGGGGCGAGCGCATGGCGCTCTCCTGCGATTTCCTGCGCCTTGCCACCACATTTCAAGCCTTAGCCCTGGCTCCTGGTTCCGTGCCTGGACAGAGAAAAGGAACTGGGAACTGAACCTCGGTCTGCTGAGCTTAACTCCTCACATCTTGGGTTTAGGGTTTAGGGTTGAGGGTTTAGGGTTTAGGGTTTAGGGTTTAGGGCTGCATCCTGAGAGCTGACGGACGCAGGCCACCAACCCAACAAGCTCAAAGGCCCCCAAGACCTAGCTCCATCCGGCCCAGCCGCGCAACCTAAAGCAAACCAAGGGGCATCTCCCTGAACCCTAAACCCTAAACCCTAAACCCTAAACCCTAAACCCTAAACCCTAAACCCTAAACCCAACCAAAAAGCCCAGGGGGCATCTCGGGAAGGTCGACTTCGACCTGCGTCTGCTCGCCAGGAGTCTCCGCGACCACTCGCGCGGGAGCGGCCGGCAGCTGCAGCCAGACGAGGTAGGAGGTGATGCCTTGGGGTTTGTAGGGTTTATATAGGGGTTAAAAAGGTTTATAGGGTTTATAGGGTTTATAGGGTTTATAGGTAGGAGGTGATGCCTTGGCGGGCTTAGGGTTTATATAGGGGTTAAAAAGGTTTATAGGGTTTTATAGGGTTTGTATGTAGGAGGTGATGCCTTGGGGTTTATAGGGTTTATATAGGGGTTAAAAAGGTTTATAGGGTTTATAGGGTTTAGAGGTAGGAGGTGATGCCTTGGGGTTTATAGGGTTTATAGGCATAGGGTTTAAAAAGGTTTATGGGGTTTATAGTGTTTGTAGGGTTTGTAGGTGTAGGGTTTATAGGGTTTGTAGGGTTTGTAGGGTTTGTAGGGTTCGTAGGGTTTATAGGGTTTGCAGGGTTTGTAGGGTTTATAGGGTTTATAGGGTTTATAGGGTTTATAGGGTTTATAGGGTTTGTAGGGTTTATAGGGTTTATAGGGTTTATAGGGTTTATAGGGTTTATAGGGTTTATAGGGTTTATAGGGTTTATAGGGCTTAGGGATGTAATGGCATAAGCGGGGGGGGTTGGGGGGGGGTTGCTACTACAACAGGGGAGGGGACTCGAAGGAGCCTGATGCCTGGAGCTCCAGGTTTGTTGGGGTGAGGGGTCTGGGCAGGCATAGTTTAGGGGCAGAGGGTACCGCTATGTACAGCTTGGACAGTTCTTCAGTTTTTCAGGAGGTCCAGGATCGAGCTGGCACCCTGGAAAGAGCTAAGTCCTCTGCATCTGGGTTTTTTTGCCGATTCAAGGAACGCTGGTTGTGTTATTTGCTGACGATCGTTCTCGACGGGTATAGAGACCCATGAGGGAATCAACACCCCTGTGTTTTTTTGACCTAAAGTGAACCCCTCTTCCTTTAAAGTCGTACTGGATCTTCAAGCTCAAGCCGCGGATGTGATCTTGTGCACTGAGACCCCCTCCGAGATCCTGGGCTCCGATATGGAGAGTTCATGTTCGGATGAAGGGATTTTTTTGGTGAGTGTTCAGTTCAGGTCCCTTTGCAGGTTTGCGTGGTTGAGTGTTCTCATGTGTATCCTCCAAGTCCAGGCGCGTCTGGGGCCATCCACGTGAGGTATGGTCGCAGCCCCGCCGTGTTCCAAGCCGCTTCTAAGCCTGGAGTTTAGGGTTTAGGGTTTTGGGGTTTACGGTTTAGGGTTTAGCCTTTTGCTTCGGCATTTTTTGGGCTGCAGAGCTCGAGCTCGAGGGGTTTGACAGGCTTGCAGTTGTAGGATTGCTCGGGAATTGGCAGCACTGTGAATCTGCGGGCTGCCGAATGCTGCCACTGTACGTATACTGGGAGGGCCAGAAATACAATAAACTTGAGACGTAGAGTCGAAACTTACACATTCCCCTTGTTTTGCGGGCCCTCTGGAAAGGTTTCCGGCACGGGCCCGCGCGGCTCTTTCCTTGATGCAAAGGCGGTGGCCTTACTAAAGACGCTTCACGCCAACCCTCTAACATCTCTAAAGAGACTCTGCAAAGCCTGACTCCTATACACCACCCGGCCCAAACAGAATCAATACCCCAAAACCCGCTTACCGAGGTACCAAGTATTGACAGAGGGCTGAGTTGTTAAGCTCCTACAGATCCGTGCCTTGGGGTGGCCCAGGCGGCTCACAAGCGAAGAAGCCGGCCTGAAGGGATGCGATCTGAGATTCTCAGGGTGTAGGTGTAGGTGTAGGTGTAGGTGTAGGTGTAGGTGTAGGTGTAGGTGTAGGTGTAGGTGTAGGTGTAGGTGTAGGTGTAGGTGTAGGTGTGTGTGTGTGTGTGTGTGTGTGTCTGTGTGTGTGTGTGTGTGTGTGTGTGTGTGTGTGTGTGTGTGTGTGTGTGTGTGTGTGTGTGTGTGTGTGTGTTGTGTGTGTGTGTGTGTGTGTGTGTGTGTGTGTGGGGTGTGTGTGTGTGTGTGTGTGTGTGTCTGTGTGTCTGTGTGTCTGTGTGTCTGTGTGTCTGTGTGTCTGTGTGTCTGTGTGTCTGTGTGTCTGTGTGTCTGTGTGTCTGTGTGTCTGTGTGTCTGTGTGTCTGTGTGTCTGGGTGTCTGTGTTTCTGTTTTTTTGTGTGTCTGTGTGTCTGTGTTTCTGTGTGTCTGTGTGTCTGTGTGTCTGTGTGTCTGTGTGTCTGTGTGTCTGTGTGTCTGTGTGTCTGTGTGTCTGTGTGTCTGTGTGTCTGTGTGTCTGCGTGTCTGCGTGTCTGCGTGTCTGCGTGTCTGCGTGTCTGCGTGTCTGCGTGTCTGCGTGTCTGCGTGTCTGGGTGTCTGTGTGTCTGGGTGTCTGTGTGTCTGTGTGTCTGTGTGTCTGTGTGTCTGTGTGTCTGTGTGTCTGTGTGTCTGTGTGTCTGTGTGTCTGTGTGTCTGTGTGTCCGTGTGTCTGTGTGTCTGTGTGTCTGTGTGTCTGTGTGTCTGTGTGTCTGTGTGTCTGTGTGTCTGTGTGTCTGTGTGTCTGTGTGTCTGTGTGTCTGTGTGTCTGTGTGTCTGTGTGTCTGTGTGTCTGTGTGTCCGTGTGTCTGTGTGTCGGTGTGTCTGTGTGTCTGTGTGTCTGTGTGTCTGTGTGTCTGTGTGTCTGTGTGTCTGTGTGTCTGTGTGTCTGTGTGTCTGTGTGCCTGTGTGTCTGTGTGTCTGTGTGTCTGTGTGTCTGTGTGTCTGTGTGTCTGTGTGTCTGTGTGTCTGTGTGTCTGTGTGTCTGTGCGTCTGTGTGTCTGTGTGTCTGTGTGTCTGTGTGTCTGTGTGTCTGTGTGTCTGTGTGTCCGTGTGTCCGTGTGTCCGTGTGTCTGTGTGTCCGTGTGTCCGTGTGTCCGTGTGTCCGTGTGTCCGTGTGTCTGTGTGTCTGTGTGTCTGTGTTTCTGTGTGTCTGTGTGTCTGTGTGTCTGTGTGTCTGTGTGTCTGTGTGTCTATGTGTCTGCGTGTCTGCGTGTCTGCGTGTCTGCGTGTCTGTGTGTCTGCGCGTCTGCGTGTCTGCGTGTCTGTGTGTCTGTGTGTCTGTGTGCTGTGTGTCTGGGTGTCTGCGTGTCTGCGTGTCTGCGTGTCTGCGTGTCTGTGTGTCTGTGTGTCTGTGTGTCTGTGTGTCTGTGTGTCTGTGTGTCTGTGTGTCTGTGTTTCTGTGTGTCTGTGTGTCTGTGTGTCTGTGTGTCTGTGTGTCTGTGTGTCTGTGTGTCTGTGTGTCTGTGTGTCTGTGTGTCTGTGTGTCTGTGTGTCTGTGTGTCTGTGTGTCTGTGTGTCTGTGTGTCTGTGTGTCTCTGTGTGTGTGTGTGTACGTGTGCGTCAGAGCTTTCGGTGCTGCTTTCCGCCTTTTTGGGGGTCTACCGTGTCAGTTCTCGTTATTGAGCTTGCGGAGGCTCACGGCTCGCGCAACTTCGGAAGAGACTGAAGCACATATGAAGCACCCCAACCACGATGCTGCAGAAGCCTCCCAACGGCCTACGAAGTCTCCGAAGGTCCTCACACCTCGCATGCGCGCCCTCACGCGCCTGCGGGCCCCATGGAGACCAGCCCTGCACCGTGGCGGCCCGCAGGCGCACGCGATAGTGGCCACCAGGGGACAGGCCTCTGCTCCATGAAGAGGGATTGGTGAGATTTGAGGCATCTGAGGCATCTGAGGGGCGAGGTTCCTTTGGCGCAACCTTGCAAGAGGACACTCCCAATTCAGGGTCGCACCCGGACGGCAACCCTAACACGGCGCCGAGCTCGAGGAGTTTCCGGGATGAAGGCAGAGAGTTCCTTCCGAAACATCAATCAAACATCAACCTCAACCCATCTCAACCCCCCGAAACCCCCCACCCCTAAACCCTATGAACCCCAAACCCCCCCACCCCCTTCCCCCCTTCCCCCCAAGTGGCCCGTCAGCTCGTAGCTGGTGGTGGTGGCCGGGAAGATCATGGAGGAGGTGGCGTTGGGCCCGGAGCCGTCCTCGTGGCAGCTTCGCAGCCGGCCCTGAACTTCCCTGAGCCCTTGAAGCCTGAACCCTTTTCGTTTAGGGTTTAGGTTTAGGAGTTTAGGGTTTACGGTGTCTACGTTCGTGTTTTTAGGGTTTGTTGGGGGCTTTCGGGGTCAAAGAATTGGCTTGGAGCTTCGGCTGAGCGTTTGCCGTCTAGGGTTCAGACTGTGGGGCGGGCATGCGGCATGCGATTATACCTCTGGACAAGTCCCAGCATCGCCATACTCCAGCTCGTAGAACAGAAGCGATGAAGTGGAGCTTGGCGGCGCCCACTGTAGTGCCAGCGCAGTTCCTCACGTTGAGGGATTCTCTCTTTTTGGAGTGGGAACTTCTCAGCATGGAGCATCCCAGAAAGAGATCCTGCTTTGACAGAGCCAGGACACTTGGGGACAGGCGTAAGAGGACGCTGCAAGGGCCCCGTGCATTGCAGAGCCACTGTGGGAAGGATTGACAAATTCGCGAGGCTGTTACGACAGCTTTGGTATCCCGGACATGACTCCTTTGCACCCTTATACCGTTCGAGTGGTGGTGAGTGAGGCTTCGGAAGAATGCTCGGAGATTCGCAGCTCAAGCCCACCAGCTCACCCTCAGAGCCCGCAGTCCCCACAGACCGTCACCTACAACGAGCTTAACTGGCTTCTCTTCTCAGGAGTCTTGATGCTCATGTGGGCCCATGCTTCACGCTAAAGTACCTTCCAGAAGCTTTAAAAGAAGTCGCGCGAAAACAAAGGAGCCCGGCGGCGGTTTGGTGCGACGAGTGGATCTCTCTGAGGGGGCTCCACATCGAGCGGCGCGACCTCTTTCAATGCCAGGATTTAGGATTCAGGGTTGGTTGAGGGTTTATATAGGGTTTAGGGATAGTTGCCCAACTACTCCGAACACTCTCGTTTTCTTCTTCTTCTTCTTCTTCTTCTTCTTCTTCTTCTTCTTCTTCTTCTTCTTCTTCTTCTTCTGCTGCACGCTTAGGAGGGCCACGACTCTCTCTCTCTCTCTCTCTCTCTCTCTCTCGCTCGCTCGCACACGACTACAAAAAAAGGCGCAGCGCCTCAGCCCCGACAAGGCTAAGGTTGGCGAGGTCGTCAGACTCCTCGGGGGAAGGGCTCAGGGCCTTCAAGGTTTCTAGGGGCCTTGTTAGGGGGCTTCATGGAGGCTTAGAACTTCGGAAGCGAACGCGTAGACGGTAGACGTGGCTTCTGAAGTTGAGGGCATCTTTCACACAGGCGCTGAGACCCCGGCAGCTGCCGCGGCCGCCGCGGGTGCCAACGCCCTTCGGCTCGTTTTGTGGACTCTTCAAGTCTTCGGCTGTTGGGAGGGGAAATTGTTTAATGGAGGGTTTAGGGTCTTGAGGCCGCTCGCAGTGGCATGGTTTCTGGCATGCCCGAGAGATACACAAAGCCGTGGCCCTTTGGGCCGGGTCACATCTGACGTCGCACTCAAAAGTCCTCTGTGCCCTGTGCCGATCATTCATTCCCAGGTTGCCTGCAGAGCAAGAGAAGCCACCAACGCATCATCACGCGTCCTGTGGGCGGCAGGGCTGCATGGAAAATCGGTGTTATAGGCCTTGACTTGGCCTTGAGGGGTCCCTCCAAGGGGATGCTTCTTTCCGAAGAGGCGAGGTCATTATCATGCTGAAGTGGAGGCATGGCCGGGCAGAGTTGTGTAATGGCGACTTGGATCTTGCTGGCTTGTGTAAGCGCATATGGACGCCAAGCAGGGTCCTTGGCATGCCATATAGCACCTCACAAGGGCGCTCTCCGAGTCTCTGCATAAGAGTCTACTCAAGACTTACAAACGGTTAGGAAAAATTGAATCGGCAGAGCCCATCGACGTCCCCCAAGCATGCTGCATGACCCTGGCTCCTAAACGCTGTAAACCTTGGTCCGGCTTTGCTGAAAGACCCAGAGTTGCCCCTTACAACCTTCCCTGGTTCACCGCCCAGTCCCAACAGAGGACCAGACTCATCAGGGCTACTCGAGGCTAAGCCTCTCCAACGGTGGGGTTTTGTCAGATCTGCTCTCAGGCTTCCGCAGGACAATTCTCCTGCACGAACCCCAACTCACAACCCCGGTGCCAAAAACTCGCGAGTGCTGAAGGAGGGGTTTGGGAGGATGGCTCAGTGGAACCAGCCGACCCCCCGATTTAGGGCCCCAACGAGGCCGCCGGCATCGCACGGCATTCGGTAGTTCCATGTAGCTCATGTACGCATGGGGCTCCAGGGTTTCAGGAGAACATGTCTGGCCCCTCAACTTCTTTGGTCTTGGTCGTTAGGAATTCTTTGAGGTGTTGGGCAGCGGAGAGGGGCTGAGGGTGGCTACCGCATGGAGGGAAGGGAGAGCTGTGGACTGTCATCAGATTGCCCTCGACCTTAAGTTGCTCTGTAAGACCGAGCCTTCAAGCCCCAAAAAAGTCACAGAATCGCCTTGTCTTGTTGAATGTTGGAGCTTGAGTAAGAAGCAGCTCCGGCAGCACGTCTCATGGATGAGAAGCTGCTACAATTTTTTTCAGCTAAAAGGGAAGTTGTGTCGCAGTCTCTTCTTGCCAGCAGCCTGTGTAAAAGGTCCCCTGAGCCCTTCAAACCCTATGATCCACATGCCAGCTGCCCTCCCACTAGGTTGCGAAAGGCGAAAGGGGCCTCAATAGAGTTGAGAGCTTCAGGGCTTGGCGTCTCCACACCCCTCAACATTTTGTCCTGTCCACATGAGCTTTGGCAGACACAGCGTCAGTCGTCGTCGATCAGCTCGACCTGGCGCAGCGTACGAAAGCGCCAGGGTTTGCGGAGAGGCTCAAGCACTGAAGACCTGTAAGGAAACTCCCGCCTTGCAACCCACCCCCCGCCCCCCCAAGCCACGAACACCCGCACCTTGCCTCAAGGTCCGACTCTGCAACAGTAGGTCCGACTCAAGAACCCGTAGATCCTTACTCAACTCTCCCTCGACGTTATCCCAAAAACCAGTAACCAAAACCACCGGGGAGGGTACCTTGATGACTTGGTCCGCCAGCTCTCCTCCAGTTCCAGATGAACCCCAAAACTTCCCCCCCCCCCCCCAATTAAGGCACTATAAGGGTACTTCCTGAGCCATTTGCTGGAGGAGGAGCGCTCTTCAGTCCCATTTTGAAGCCTTCGAGACGCAGCCGAGGGGCCCCCATCGAAGTCGAAGTGTGCGGTGGAGGCCTGAGTGCGGGATCCGGGCATGTGGCACTTTATAAGGCTTCAAAGGGCTTTGGGGGGGGGGGGGGGGGTGGGTGTTTTCTACAGATTTAAGGGGGGCTTATATCGTCGGATCCTCATTCAGGAGCCCTGAGTTTTTGCAAGGGTTAGTCCTGCGAAGCCTCAGCTCCTGGCCGCATCTGGCTTCCTAAGCCCAAGAGAGACCATGAAGGTGGAGGGAAGGCGTTCCCTGGTTCAGGGTAGGAGGGGTTCGAAGGGGGATTCAAGGGTGCATGTGGTATGACTTTCTTGCAGTGCGAGCACGCTCGCAAGAGCAAGTGCTGAGTCGAGCGGCTCAAGCTGTCCTGTGGCTGCAAAACCGCGCCGGGCGTTGCCCAGGCCCCGGATGTTGCAGAGTGCAAGCGCCCTGCTTACGCTCGGCCCCTGGCTCGAAGGTAAGCCACGCCACGCAATCGTCCTCTTCGAAATGGCCCTCAATGACCTTTCAAGGGAGCACCACCGAAAAATCAAAGAAAGGTCCCGGTCCCGCGAACCGACATTGGGCTACCCTCCCAGGATGCTGAGGACACCTTCTGAAAGGCTCAAAACCCTCCTGGCAGCGGGCTGAGGGCTTAGGAGAGAGAGGCGCACCTTGCCAGCGGCGCTTTCGAAGAGCTCCTTGATGTAGCGCCATTCGAGTCCTTCTGAATGCTGAACGGCCCCCCCCCGTGTTTCTTATTGGACTCCAGGGCATGGCGGCTTAGTCCTAAACAGTATCGTTGAGCAACTTACAGGGCCTCTCCTCCAAGGTCCTTTGGGGGTCTCTGAAATGCATTGGGGCGGGGCTCTTATGAGGTTTAGGGGCAGGTCTGGGGCCGCTGCCCTCTGGGATGTTGCTGACCTTCACCTTGGCGAGTTGGGGGGGGGCATGATTTTTTGGGGCGGCTTTCAGCGCGGCGATTGCAGTACCCAGTAGGGGCTCCCAAGTCCCCGTATGCCTTGCGTGGGTTCCTCGGTTCACTAGCTCGAGTCGGCATCTGCCGGGTCAGATCCAAGCCCATTGTGGCGAGAAATCCCGCAGATGAGAGCTTACTCTAACTCTTGGAAGCTCAAAAGAACTTCGGATCCTGCAGCCTCAATTTAGAAACCCTATGCTAGCGCGTTTTGCGGTATAGTGCCCCTTCACGTCAAGAGCTGCGCAGGGTTTTGCCGGCATCGGTTACACGGCGCAAGGCGCTACGTGTTATTTTACCTTACGCTACACTACACTACATAACAGTCTCACACATGAGTCACATGAGGCGCAACTCTCGCGATGGATGTCGCCAATCGCAGTGAGGGAGCTCTTCCCACACCTCAATGCCCAAAAAAAACCCAAAAACCCATGTGACGCTTTCACCCTGAAGCGGCGTAGCCAAACTTCCCAACAGCCTTGTAAGGCCGTAGCGTCTGGAGCTTCGAACAATCCACACACGCACACAACCAAGTCAGGAGCAAAACCCCTTGAGTCAAGGCTGACCCCGTGTCGGGATGTGTCGCGAGTCCCCGGCTGTGCGCGGCCGGGAGAAGGTGCCATGCGACGCCATGTCTCCTGCGTCGTGCGGATGGGATTTGGAGATTCTGAGGGGGGGGAGGGCTTTGATGTGAATGAAGGGGGCTCGGAAGGTCTTTTTGCCTAGGCGTCGAAGGATTCAGAGTCTGAGGCCCGGACGGCCTTTGGCTTTCTGCACTTCCTTTGGCGCACGCTTCTCTGTGAGCCTGCGGCTCTGCGAAGAAGATACCCCCCCTCCAACCTTTCCAACCCTGACGTTTTGCCAGGTGGCACGTCTTTTTCATACACATTCACTTAGTTTATGGCAGGGCTCAGTCTATGACGTGGGCCCCCGTGTACGTGGACAATCTCGAAGGCTGTCGGCACCTAGTCCAGGGAAACTGGATCTGCATCTGGGTTTGCATGTGTCGCCAAAGTCATGGCCGTCATTGCCACTAGTGCTCAAAAAAACCATGAGGTTCAATGAGTCTCACCTGAAAGACAAAAGATGTGGACACGTGGGCCTCGAATAGCGTCAAGAAAGAGCAGGCTGGCCAAATGCTGAGTAAGATCATGCAAACGCGTCTGCATCGCAGGGCCTTCGCGAGCCCCTTTGATAACCCGGGCGATATCCGGCAAAATCCATCCTACCCTACGGCTCTTAGATCTTTAGCCAGATCCTTTACTGGGTAGCTCAGAAACCAAATCATAATAAGGGTACCGTTTTTGGGGCGGGTTAGTTTACAAGGGAACCTTGAAAAACAAACGGTAAAAGAGCACTGTTCTACCAAGTCGAAAACGCGGCTGGCCGTTTCTTGAAAACAGAGCCCGGCTAATGGTCCTGCCACCACGACCCAGGCGCTCTTTCTGCTCGGCGGGATCTCGGCGTTGCACTGGGTGTGGAACATCGGAGACGCTTGCAGGGCTGGGTTCAAGCTTTAATATAAGGTTTCTCTCGCGGGTCTATGGCAAGGTGGATGAAGATTCCTTTGGATGTCTGGAAGGTATCTCTTCGCAGATCTTCGATAGCTTGTGGGATACAGTGCGGCGTCGCATGCGCTTCCCGCGCGCGAGGCTTGGCATTGGGGTTGCCTGCAAACTCAAGCATCAGCATGACAAAGGGGGGCTCCGATGCCAACGTTTGTTAAGGCAGAGCAAGTGTTCACGAAGTGTCCCGACAAGCCCAGGGCCGCTAAAACGCCACAGCCCGAAAGTTCCACTCACCCACACACGGAAACAACTCCACGAACCGTCACAAGCCCTATAGATACTGGCGTTTTGACCCCTGAACCCTAAACTAAACCCAAGGGATGCTTAGTGATGGAGTTCAACATGCTCCGACACTGGGTGCAAGACCCTGGCGCTTCTCCCTTCTCTCCTCTGGCCTGAAAGGACACTATTTTGGGGATTCGAATCCTCAAACTTCCCATTTGGGACTCAGAACTAGTACTAGTACTAGTACTAGTACTAAAGCTAGTGCTAGTGCTCGTACTAGTTAGAAGTAGAAGTAGTAGTGGTAGTAGTACTAGT